TTGGTCTGCCTGATGTTCCTAAATGATTGGCTCGGGGCTCCCTGCGCCCCGCATGTAGTCTTCCGCCATGCGGCCTGCTGTTGGTTAATTCGTGACACAAAAACACGGGTCATAGCCCCCCGTCAGGTAGGTAGGTCTAGCAGGGGCTTTGGTACTATACATACAATTCAATGAGCCATTGTAGAGTAGCTATATAGTGGCTAAAATATGCTGAGTATATGCGTGGTTTTTGAGTTTGAAGCTTGAGACAAACTTAGAGGCATATGCTAGGCATATGCTTAAATTTAACTTAGAAAATTCCCTAGGTATATACCTAGAATTTAATTTCAAGTATATTATTGTATATGCCTGGCATATAGCATATGCCCAGGGTTACTTAGAAGAGTTTAAACAATTTGCATAAGTATAGTTGGACCTAGGCATATGCTCAACCTATGCCGCTAGGGTTCTCTCAAGCTTCAAACTCAAAGACTACGCATATGCCTAGCATATTTTAGCCACTATATAGCTACTCTACAATGGCTCATTGAATTGTATGTATAGTACCAAAGCCCCTGCTAGACCTACCTACCTGACGGGGGGCTATGACCCGTGTTTTTGTGTCACGAATTAACCAACAGCAGGCCGCATGGCGGAAGACTACATGCGGGGCGCAGGGAGCCCCGAGCCAATCATTTAGGAACATCAGGCAGACCAATCAAGGCAAGGCTGAAGTGCTATGACGCCAAGACAGGCGAGCGCCTCGCAGCATGCAAAATGCTCGAGGTGATCGAAGATATAGCACGACGAGCAGGCAAGTGCTCGAGGGTGCTCGGGACACGAGCACAGGCGATCAACAGAACCGTACATAGTATATAGTCACTCTTTAGGAAGGACCTTCAGAAGGTTCTCCAGTAAGCAATGCAAGCAGTTGTCTTTACTACTGTGTGAACACTTGCTTGTGCACTTGCTGTAGACCCTTTGGCTCTACCGAACCTCACCCCGTTCAAGTCAACCTTCAGTCTGAGGAGTCCCTTTCAGTGGTAGGGGACCGAGATTCGTCACATTTTGCGTCCCAAATTCTGCATAAAGTCCCCCGCAAGCTAAGGACAGCCCCCCGTCAGCTGTATACTCATTCGAACATGCTTATATCAAACACAAAACAGAATGCACCCACCAATCAAGATGGAAGGACATCCAAGAATTGTGGGGCGTGTGGCTCAGTTGGTAGAGCGTTCGCTTAGCATTCCCTTAGGTTTGCGAAAGGTCCTGAGTTCGATTCCCAGCTCGTCCACAGATTATCTTTTGTCCCTGCCTAAAGGCGCCAAGTTTCTTTTTGTCCGTCCATCTTCCATGGACCTGTTGTTTCGCCTGGATCGTGAAGGATTGCGTTGTGTCGCAATTGACAAACTGATGTTGTAACTTGTATCCGTGGTTGGTCCATGTGTTGCGGTAAATCCTCGGCAGAACCGGTTCAGAAATGCCTGACCCCTGTCCCTGCATGGTTGAGGTCATCGCTGAGTGGGCCCTTTCCCAGAGTCGCATTTGTTGCATCTGCAGTTCTGCACAGCTCAAGCTCGAGCGACTGAGCTTGTCAACAACCAACCTTTTCGGCGAAGCCGCACATAACTCAACATGGTAAGCTTGCGGACTTTACTTTTTTGCGTTTCTATTTGTTTCGGCTAACGTGCGATTGTAAGCTGCCCCTTGGGCTCCTAAACGCGGCGCAGGGCCACCCCATGCTGGTCGAACTCAAGAACGGCGAAACCCTCAACGGCCACCTGGTGCTCTGCGATACGTGGATGAACCTGACTCTGCGCGAAGTGGTGCAGACTAGCCCTGTCAGTCACGCGTCCAGAATTTATGACAATATGCTGGCTACTGACTGGAATGGTTGGTGCAGGAGGGCGACAAGTTCATGCGGCTGCCGGAAGTCTACGTCAAGGGGAACAATGTGAGCTGACACCGATGTCTTTGGGGTTCCTGTGGAATTACTTGCTAATGTGCGTGCTGGGTTAGATCAAGTATCTGCGAGTTCCGGACGAGATCATCGACATTGTTAAGGAGCAGCAGCAGAGCCAGCAAGGCGGTTACCGTGGGGGTCGCGGTGGACAGGGGAGGGGCGATCACGGCGGGCGCGGCGGGGATAGGGGTCGCGGAGGGAGAGGACGCGGCGGCGGGAGAGGTGGACGGGGAGGAAGGGGTTCATGAGCAGGGATGGGTACATTTTGACGGACAGACGGTGACTGAAGATGGGGCCAGGAAGCCTCCACCGGCATACCCCTCAATCGAGCGCCAGGAGTTTGGTCTTGAACGCATCACACCATATGCCTGCTGGAAGCTTTCAGCAGAGCAGGCTGCTTGTGGTGGGATGAGCCTATAAGGCCCTATAGAGGCTTCTTGGAAGAGAGATCCAGACCCAGTGTATGGGCTGATGACACCGCTGGCGCAGATACCCTAGCTATTCTCGCTATTACGGATTCTGGACTAGGATGACTGAGTCTGAAAACATCCATGCGGCTTCCACCTTGACGGGTACCTACCTTAGACTCCCGTGAAGGGAAAGTGATACATAGATGAGGTACCACGTGATCCCGCGTCGCCTGCAATTGGCACAGCGTGTTTCCCCAGTCTTGGCGTTCCGAGTTTGGGCGGTGCAACCATGTCTATCGCTAGCTCACCTTGTGTAAATAAAATCTTCGATCTTTTCATCTTATTGAAGCCATGGCACAAAGCCGGGTTGTGATTGACGCGCTATGGCGGTGTCTCAACCCTTCAGTTGATGCTCATTTCATGTCAAGGGCAATCAAATCATCGTCCCTTCTCGCCTACCGTATCGATGGTTTCCGTGGCATATGCCGAAACCGCTGTGCTGGGCAGGCACGAGCCCTGCATGTGCGCAGTTCCCTCATGGACTCCTCTTGCGAAGTCGTCGCAGGGCAGTCGGAACGACGGCCTGCCCCGGCTGGCTCCGAACCGCCGCATGTATCAGCTTCGCAGCTGGTGAGACAGTTGCTTCGATCAGACATTGTTCACATTTACCCGCGGAAACTGCGTCCGATCACGACGCCCGTCATATACGAGGCATTGCGCACCCTGCGCAACCATAGTGGCCAGGCTGGAAAGATTCGGCAGCTGGTTACGTATCTGGTCGCAGAGCGCGGTGAGCGGCCCAATGTGTTCCTCTATGAGGCGCTCGTCACAGCGAGCTGGGATACGACGACCGGTTCCGCGAGTGATCTGGTGGCTATCATGGAGGAGATGTGGGACACAGGTATAACGCCGTCTCCAAGTTTCTACCACAGCGCTTTACGGGTACGTTTTGAGCCAATGTGCACACGGTTGGCTTTCTCATGCCCGAATCTCTGACACGGTCTGTAGTTGCTTGCTATCCATCCAGATTACCTGACTAGAAACGCTATCCTCAAGTCCATGCGGGATCAGGGTATTGAGTTGACGGACGAAGGTAAATGCAGTGTGGCGCTGGGGCTACTCCGCGATCCTCAGCTCGAGATGGCGCTGGAATATCTGGCTCAGATGTGCCGGGAAGGGACCGAAATACCTGACTGGGTATTCAGTGTCTATTTCTACGTCCTCGGAAAGCAAGGCTTTCTTGACGAAGCGCTCCAGTTGTTACAGCAGAGGATCGGCGGCTCAGACGGCAGCGCCGTCTCGGTCCCTCTAAGCACTTGGTATTTCTTTCTCGAAGAGTGCAGCAACGCCTTACATCACCCGGGAACGGTCTTCATATGGGAAAGGATGGTCCAAACAGGAATGATCAATCCGTCAGATGGAATTGCGCTCAATGTGCTATACACAGCGTCCCGCCACGGCAACTCAACCCTAGCTACCGAGGTCATCCAGCTTCTCTCCGCCCGGAGGGTCAGGCTAGGCTTTCATCACTACGAGGCTCTGCTCGACTGTTACATGCACGAGGGAGATATAGAGAACGCATTCGAGGTGCTCCACATCATGACCGAGGCCGGAGTCCAACCTGACCAGTCCAGCACGCGTTCAATCTTTTATGCACTGAAAGATTCCCCTGAACTCTCAGCTAAAGCTCTTGAGACGCTCTCGAAACTGAGAAAGCAGCATGACATTCCAATATCAGCTGTCAACGTGCTGCTGGAGGCCCTGGCGCAGAGAGGAGACATGCCCAAAGCCCTCGACCTTTACCGGCAACTCAGCCAGCTCTGCTCTTCAGGGCCTAACCAGCAGACGTTCGTTGTCCTCCTCAGGTCGGCCCAGGATGAGGTATCCAGGGACTTCCTGATATCAGAAATGGAACGCTTCTCAATCAGGATTCCGTCGGGGTTGCTCAATCGCCAATCTGCCGCTCTGGCCAGATGACAATTCTGGCATCAGACTCGAACATTTTCGCGGAAAATGAACAATTTGCATTGCCGTTCTCTGTACGAGGCCAGCTTCACGGAGGGACAAAAGGGCCGTAGTACCATCACGCATTGCGTTGCGTCCCCGAAGGTACCTTTGCAGGGTGAACATGGCTCCCTGATGCGTGGCCCCTGTCTTGACGTGAGGAGATCTAGTTATGTCTTCATATCAGACGGCAGCGTTGGGTTGCAGGGACGGTTATTGCCAAAATAGGATCCAGCGGCCTGTCGGATTCCGAATCGCGGGAAGAGGGTGTCCTGGAGGGTAACAGTCTTCTCGGTGAACCATTGGAGGCAGCGCCGAGGAGCGGGACAGAAAGCTTGTATCCTGGAGGTCACGCAAGAGTCCTTGGCATTGAGCCGCCTCCAAGAAATGGCTGCATCGCATAGCTTGAGCTGTGGATAGCTAGATGCAATCCAGGTTAGAATCGTGTCCAGGTTATGGTACCTGCTTGGCACTTTTGACTACCGCGGTGGCGGGCAGCACCTTGATTGGAGGGTGGTATAGCAATCAACGAGGCACATAGCCGACAACGTCAATCAAATCCGAAGTGAGAAGGTTTCTCTCGACTCGGCAACGTGGAGCGAAGCGACGCAGTCCACCGAATTGTAATGGGAGCAGAGCCCCAGCTGCCACTATTAAAGAGACTCTCCCAGTCGTACTCCGTATGTAGCTTGGAGATGATCATGACTGGGAGACCGATATAATGTAACTGGGACTCTTCTGGGCGCGTGACTCTTCTTCGCCCGCAGGACATTTGCAATTCCGATTAAGCATTACTTCTGCGAACTTGATAATCGGACAGATGGCCGGTCCAAAAGGGTCCATACTGATCCGGGCCTCTCCTGAGTCTATGCTTGCTTCGCCGGAAGTGGTGACATCGCCGGTGTGGTTAACCGGCTTTCCGTTTGGTTGTCGTGGAGCTGATTGTATATGTACAATACGGTATGGCTCGTCCCGGTGCGCCAGGAGGTAGTAGCGGTCGTAAACCGAGCTGGCATGCAGAGTAACCTTGACATGTATATCAGCAACAGACAAGCCGTTCGACGTAGCCACGGCCAGGGGTTTCGCCCTGACCGGCACGGCATGAGGTGAGCGGCCTCTGCATGCGGGGAGATGGGAGGGCTTGTGCCGATTGGAGTGTGCCGCTTGTAAGCTTTGTACAACCTCGGCAGGTCTCGGCATTCGTCATAGCGACCCTCGAGCTCTGCAAGGGTCGAGAACATCGTCGTTTTTAAAAATGGCACAATCGAATGTTTAATCGTAAACGAATCGAGATGGGAGACAGTCCACGGCAAGAGCCCCGGCACTAAGATCGGAATCAATCCGAGGGACGAAACTCCCGATCCCTGTGTCGATCCGAGGTGCTAACGCAAGGGACGGCTGTGCGAGCTGTCAGTTATTCCCGACGGCTGTGGGAGGCCCGGGATCACCGGCATTCTCAGTTCTCACCATGGTCAGCATCAGCTACTGTACAGTACAAGTACCACAGCACACATGCAGCTGTCTGACATCGTTGCAGTTGGAGAAGGGGGGCTTCGGCGGATGGAGAAGGAGGGAGGGATGGGAGACAAGCAGAAGCGTGGTGTACAGTTTTAGCGTCCGTCGGCAAACCACTAGGACGACTTTGCGGGAGCAACCTCAAAGATATTACATATGCCAACTCCGGGATCGGGTCTCAATAGCGTCCGATAGGTGGGATGGAAGGCAGTTGAAGATGGCTTTTAACTCAACAACCTGGAAAGAGCATATGGATCCGGTATGCGCCTGAGCCCGCCGAGGCACCCCAGGATAGTAATCCGCACCCAAGCCCTTCCTGCCTTCGTCCCGATGTGGTGGGGTAACAGTTGATTGATTAGAAACGACACTCTGCCATTGGTCACACGACAGAGTCTCGACCAAATCGGCTTAACGTATGCCTCTAACGGGTTTATTCCGCTTCTAAGTGCATACCCCCACGGCTGGGTCCAGGGCCCAGCCAAGACAAGGGCGAGCGAAGATCCTCTATCGTCCTTCTTGGCGACGTAGTTCTGGTGACTTCACTTATCAAGGGGGTTGACTTCGAACACTCGTTTCGTGGGGTTTTAAAGGCATTGCTCACAGAGAGTGTATTCTAGTTATCTTACAGTCAGGCCTCTAGCACAGTACGTGGAGCAGAGATATCTGGACCCATATCTCTGGGACAAGTCAACTTCAAACATGGTCTTTACACTACCTTACCTTGGGTTAGTACCTTAGGTTAGTGAACTCACTCAGGTGGTGAGGACAGGATATAAGCGCTCGAGTTATCGCCGGCAAGGGAAGCAGCCGTTCCAAGCAGTTCTTTCGCCAGGCTCACCCACACTTCGGGATCTTCCTCTTATCTCCCCGCCATCTCGAGCAGTTCCCGGCTTATCTCTGCGTCCCTCACCGTCCAGTCGAACGTCGCATGCCGCAACCAGTTTCTTTTCCGACCCCAGCTCAATGTTCGAGCGCCGAGCAGGTTGTCATGCAGATTGAGCCGCCGTTCGACGTCGCCACCGTCCTCAGAACCACTGGATGTAGTTGCTAGTCTCACCACACATGGAAATCTGTGAAAAGCCGGCCTCGTGCCCCGCCTCCTTCCACCCGAGATTTCCTCCCGGGCTGACTGGTGCATCTCCGCAACGCCTTCCGCATGTCACGAATGGGTTTCCCATAGCCTTCCATCTGCGGGAACCCCCAGATATTGGACGGAACCCGTATGTGATGGCCAGGGCCGCTGGCAGTCTTGCTCGGTAACTGCCTGCATCACATCGTTGCACCTCGCATTCATTGGATTGGCGAGCACAGAGCCACCTCTCCGACGCGGCTTATCTGCTTTTCACTCGTGCCTACCTCAACCTCTTTTGCGCGCACACCTATCCTTCGCTGTTGACAACTAGTAATCCTTTTGCCGCTGATATTTTTCTCCTATTCCGTTTCAAACCCGAAACGCAACAGCGAGTATCTACGGTATACCTGACATACAAACGAGAACCTAGCTCAAATCGTGTGCTATTTCCTCTTCCGGCTTTCGGGGCACTGGACCCTGTAAGTGGGACCCGTCCAGTGCCAAAGCCAGCCGCGAACCCCAGTCATCGATCAGTAACGTACGCTATTTGGCCCGCCACAGACTGGACCGTGGCTCCCCCCGCAGCGCAGCCGGCGCATCCCCCAGCCCAGGGCGCGGCTTTTCTCAGGATACCCCAAAACTTCTGATAACCTCCTGGCCTGATTTCCCCACAGTTCGCAGCAATCGCCCTCGTTCCATGGTCGTGTCTGACTCCACGGTTGATGCGATGGCTGGCCACGACACGTCGCCGGTTTCGCTGCAGCCAGGTGATCAGGACACGGACGGATACGGCGGCACCGGCGGGCTCGCCGACCCGTCGCCGCCGCCGTCCAAGAAGAAAGCCCGGCGCGGCGCCGATCCCTCCAACCAGAAACGCAGGTGTGTCAGCACCGCCTGCATCGCTTGCCGGAAGAGAAAATCAAAGTGTGATGGCGTCCTTCCAAGCTGTGCCGCCTGTGCCAGCGTCTATGGCACCGAGTGCGTCTATGATCCGAACTCGGACCACCGCCGGAAAGGCGTGTATCGCGAGAAAACCGATAGCATGAAAGCCCGGAGCTCAACCCTCCAGATCCTGATTGAGGCCATCCTGAATGCCGCTGAGGAAGACGTGCCGGCCATCGTGAGGAAGATCCGCACCTGTGACAGCCTCGACCACGTCGCCGAGGCAATTCTTAAGAACGATTACGCCGATGACGATGACGACGATGACTCCAGCCGTGCCGACGCCGAATACGGCGTCAATCAGCCCGTGGATGGCGAGAGGGATCTTGCACGCAAGATGGGCGAGCTCCGCCTCGAGAATGACTCTGTCCGCTTCATCGGCGGCACCTCTCACCTGATCTACCTGGGCGAGCCGAATCATGTTCCTGAGGAGCCTGAAGCCGACGGTTCTTTGTCCAGCGAGGATCCTCCTGCCAGCTGGACCGAGGTCACCAAGGACACGCAGTTGATCATGCATCTGATGAACATGTACTTCAACTGGCACTACCCCTATTTCACCACTCTTTCCAAGTCACTCTTTTTCCGAGACTTCTTGAAGGGAAAACCGCGAGGGCGGCCCAAGTCTACCGTTTACTGCTCATCGCTACTGGTCAATGCCATGCTAGCGCTGGGCTGCCATTTCACCAGCGTACCCGGCGCTTTTGCCATTCCCGGAGATAGTAGGACCAAAGGCGATCATTTCTTCGCCGAGGCGAAGAGACTAATTGTCGAGAACGATGAATATGAGAAGCCGAGGCTCACCACAGTGCAAGCGCTGGCACTAATGTCCGTTCGCGAAGCTGGGTGTGGGCGAGAGGCCAAAGGATGGGTTTACAGTGGCATGAGTTTTCGGATGGCGCAAGACATCGGGCTTAATCTCGACATCGGAGGGATCGCAAGAGACACGGAACCTCTGGACGAAAAAGAAATTGACGCCCGGCGGATAACCTTCTGGGGATGCTTCCTCTTTGACAAGTGCTGGTCCAACTACCTCGGCCGCTTACCACAGTTGCCCAAGAATACATACAACGTCCCTAAATACGATGTTTTCCCAGAGGAGGACTCGGAGATGTGGTGTCCGTATACGGATGGCGGGTTTGACCAGTCGTCCAAGCAGCCGTCCCGGACAAGGGCAGTTGGTCTACAGCTTTCCAAGCTCTGCGAGATTAGCAGCGATTTGCTGCTCTTCTTTTATCACCCCAACTATATCGGCCGGTCGAGCGGAAAGGCGCATGAGTTGAAGAAACTCAGCGAGGTCCATCGGCGACTGGAGGATTGGAAGAGGGAGCTGCCGCCCGAGTTTGAGCCGAAGGACGGCCAACTGCCCAATGTCATCCTGATGCAGTAGGTTTGACCGTTCCATGAATCCTCTTGAATGGACAGTGGACTGACTCGATGACAGCATGTTTTATCACCTACAGTATATTCATCTGTTCAGGCCATTCCTCAAATACACTCCGGCCACTTCTCCATTGCCCTCCCATGTATCCCCTCGGCGGATATGCACCGCGAACGCAGGAGCTATCTCAAAGCTCATGAGGCTATACAAGAAACTATATGACCTGAGGCAAATTTGCAACATTGCCGTGTACATGGTCCACTCTGCCTGCACGATCCACATGCTCAATCTGCCTGAGAAGACGGCCAAGCGCGACATTATTCACGGGGTGAAGCAACTAGAAGAGATCGCCGAGGATTGGCTCTGTGCGCGGAGGACGCTGAGTATCTTAAGCGTGTTGGCACGGAAGTGGAAGGTTGCGCTGCCGGAAGAGGCAGCCCTCGTTCTACAGCGGACGGACGAAAAATACGGCACATTCAGCACGTCGGACGTGCCGTCGCCAGCCGTGCCCTCGATCGCGCAGTCGCCCCAATCGGTTTCACAATCACCATCCAACACTAGGCCGGATCCCTACAGTCCGGCAAACCAATACAATAACCCGGCGGCTCAGTCAATGACGCTAGATATTCCCTCATCAACTATATCGGCCGACGTGCTTAATGGCATGGCCATGTCGGGGATTCCCCAGAGTCTGCAAAACGTTCAGAGCCAGGTTCCGAAACAGATGACGCAGCCCGTTGCTCCTTCATCCATGTCGATGGGCAAGAACATGCCAGCCCTGAATGGCTGGGGCGTCCCAGCCGTGACGCGGCCGATGCCGAGCTACAACCAGTCTTATGCACCGGTCCATAACGGGATTGGGGCCGCGACGTCGTCCCGTCCGGGGGCGCGCCATGTGAGTCCCAGCTCGCTTTATAGCATTGACGGGCAGGATTGGTACATAAAAGACGGCGTGAGTTGGCAGCAGAACTTTGAGTCGTGGGGTCTCGGTGCTGGCGGCAGCGCCAACCCGTCTTCAAACACGGCGACGGGCACAACAAGCCCTGCCGGGATGAGCGATGCTTCCATGTACATGTTCCGAGGCCTTCGGGCGAACGAGATGGACAGCTCGGGCTTTGACTCTTTGGGTTCCATGGGCAACTTGGATCACTTACCCGGGCTAGACTAGGAGTTTTGAGTAGGTGATTATTGATTTCATGCGGGAGGAGCGTGCGAGGGGCATGGATGGATCAAGGAGTGTAGGGTTCAGGGGATGCATATATATTGTACTGGGATTTACTGCTCACATATACGAGGTCGGGAAGAGCGGCGGCACCTTCGGGGATCCGAAAAGATAGCGGTCTGTATTTGGGTTTGGCGGCAAGAGGGCGGCGCTGGAAGTATAAATGTACGTCGCAGCCGGTCGTAACTGGCATCAGCTGTGTACATATATCTTAGAAGATAGATACCATAATGTCGGCCATGAAGATAAATGACGTCTCTGTCCGTCTATCCTCGTACCGTTCTACGAAATCCAGTACATCTCGCAAAGAATTACACCACACCGCTCAGCCGACCGTCACCTTCTACCTCCTTCCCTCTCCTCGGCGTCCATAATCTCAAACAACCGCTTATACACTCCAGCCTCCTCCTCCATCTCGGCCATACTCCGAGCCTGCCGCGCCGCGTCCTCGATACTGGGGAAACTGCCCCCGGGCTGCGGCCTCGTTGACCCCCATTCCCAACCATCACCACCAGCAGATCCCGATTCGACTTCCTGTCCCTGTCCCTGCTGATTCAGCGCCCTCTCCCTTAGTGCCCGGTCCCACAACGCCCCGCCCACGTTGCCGTCCTCGTTGGCCATGCGCTCGTACACGGCGTCGGAGGGCGTCGACGCCGGTTTGGCCGTCGACCCCCGGATCCGCGGGATCACGTGCACGTGCACGTGCGGCACCGTCTGGCCGGCTTCGGGCCCGTCCTGGAGCGCAATGTTGAAGGAGCCCTCTTCGGGTTCTGCTGCTGGTGCGAGGTGGGGGGTTGTTGTTGTTATTGATGTTGATGTGGGTGATGAGGGAGAGGGAGAGGGTGTAGTAGTAAAGTACTGCCGCGCAAGCATGCGCTGCACGCGCTGCACGGCCACCATCAGGTCCGTCAGCTCGCTTGCCGACAGGTCCGTCAGTCGCCGGTGCGCGCGCAGCGGGCACACCAGGACGTGGCCCGGCAGGAGCGGCTTGAGGTTCACTAGTGCAAAGGAGTGCGGTGTCTTGAGGAAGACCTGTTGGGGTGTGGGTGTGGGGGGCGGAGGTTAGTGAGGGGTTTCAAGCAGGAAGGTGTCGTATTAGAGAATATAGCGAAAAGAGCGCAAGAGATCAAGATTCAAGTCTCGTCTTACCTGGTTTGTGACATCAAACGGCCCAAAGTAGATGGGCTGCTGGGGTTGTTGGTGCTGTTGTTGAGTGGTCTTTTGGGCCGTCTGTTGGTGGCCAGCGCCCGACGACGTCGTCATTCTCACGCCCTGTCGTAACCTTCCTTGCAGCGCAAAGCGTGGTTGAGAAATGGTGCCGAAGATTTGAACCCAGGATCTTCTGGCAATGATCATACTAATGAAGGGTAAACGGTTGTGTGAACCTGCTGACTTGGCGGCCAAGTGTATTGAAGTTCCACGCTTGTACAGTACTTGGTAGTGACTAGTGAGTGGTTGGTGGGTTTCATTGTGGGAGAGCCAACCCTCAGACAGTGACAGTGTCAAGCAGGAGCCACTGACCGGAAATCGGCCTTCTATCCATCTCACTTTTGGTCACTCGTCTTCGTCGCTCAAACCGAATGTGAGCACATGGCTAGTGTACGAAGTTCTACGAAAAGTAACATGACCGCTATATAAACCAACTCATTTGCCTGATTTGAAACATGAACCTCCAATATGCAGCATTATGCGATTTTGTTCCGACGCATTGGGCCAGCGCAGTGACTCCGCCAGAACTCACCCCAGTAACTAGTACCAAACCCCAATCTCAATGCTGAGCCTCCCATATCCACAAAACTACGTAGAGTATACACATATGTGCAATATCTAGCTCTAAGTTCAGAGATTAGTAGATCATGACAGTCTAGGCAAAAGCTCTTCATCCTCCAGGGCGTCTTGATGGATCCGGTCTGCGCTGTCTCGCCGAAGGGATGGATCATTATCTCCGCGCATAAAGACTATTTACCTGTTAGGCATCGTGAAATGTTGATGGGAGCGGAAACGGATCCAGACATACCGTGAGGCGTGAGAAAGAATGACGCCGCTAGCGTCAATCCGAAGATAGCAACCAGCAGAACGAAAAACGCCTGCGGGAAAGTCCCGACGGTGGCAGCATACAGTCCGTTAAACATGATGGGCGAAACGACGCGCGAGAGTGAGTGAAGCAACCCGATGGCTCCTAGAAGTTGGCCGACTCGCTCGGCAGGGACGTGCTTGCTCAGGGCCGCCTGGATGGTGGCCGACGCGAGCCCACCAAAGGCGGCTATGACGGCACAGGCGACGAAGAGGGCACCAGTGCGCACAAAGATATATCCTGCAATGCCGAGGACATCTGACAGCAGTGAGATCCGGAGGATCCAGATGTCCAGCTCGTCTGCCCCGGCATTCTTCTCAACAAGCACCTCTCCTGCTTCTCTCCTCTTTGCTGCTGGCCGTGTCCGGAAGACGTAATTGATGACGGGGAATATGCCCAGAAGGATGACGACGCGCACCATGGACACCATCGAGATGAACTTGGAGCTCTCAAAGTTACCCCATCCAAACACGTATTCGGCGTACAGGACAATTATGGTGCCTGCGCTCATGGCGGCTCCAAGGATGATCATGTCGATGAAGGCTAGGATAAGAAGATTGCGCCGTAGTCGCGTGGTGCCGGGTCCAGTGGGAAATAAAATAGAAAGAGGTGCGAGAGGATTCGCGGTCCTCACCGAGTGCACCACGCTGCTGACCTGCTTGCGAAATGGAATCCTCGACAGGATGGGGCCAGCCCATTCCGGTGCGGGGGCAAGAGCTTCCTGTTGAACCGCGTGCTTCTCGCGCGCTGCGAGCTGGCGCCTGAGGGATAGAGACTCGGGGACCACAAACCCCATGAAAAAAGCGAAAAAGATGTGGCAGCCGAGCATGATGTAGAAGATGGATAGTAGGGAGCCCGTCCACTCGACCAAGTAGCCCGCTAGCAGGGGACCGAAGGCGAGGCCCGAGAAGAGACAAGAGTGCAGATAGCCAATGGCGACTGCTCGCTTCGAAGGGGGAGTGCAATCACTCGTGTATGAGTGGCTCAAGACACTCCCAGCGGTGAAGGAGCCTGTGAGGCCGTCAAAGAAGGCACCGAGGATCATCCACCGGTAGTCGACTGTTTCGGGAAACTTGGCCGCAAGGATGGTAATGATCTCGGCAGCAATGCCGCCGATCGAACAAACGACCATCAGACGTCTGCGGCCATAGCGATCTGAAAGCGCTCCCAGTTTGGGTGCCGAGAGGGAGCTCAGCGTTCCGGTGAGAACATTGAGGACCATAGAGAAGGTTGCCACAGACTTTTGCACTTCTGGGATGAGACATTGGGGGTTGTTGCCCCCTAGGAAGACCGGCATGAAGGTAAAGGTCGGATCCGCGGCCGACCTGTCGGCGAAATAGTGTTTGCAGACAAGATCAATAATACTGTACACCAAGAAGGTCAGTAAGAAGTCTCGGAACCACTGCAGGACGGGATAGCCAGTACAGGTTCAGCCTCGGGACGACCGAGCCGCCAAAGGCGAGAGTAAAGAGTGCATATGGAGCTAGCAGAAAGCCGACCTGCCTCACGGTTAGTCCCATGAATGTTGTCTGCGGGTACCTGCAGCATCACGCAGCTCTGCAGTGCTCGTCCCGGAATCTTGGCCAAGCAAAACATACCGACGGTCTCTTCCACCAGGGCAGACCCTCAAAATCGTCGAATCCATCCCATCTTTCACTGGAAGAAGACCTGTCCGGATTCTCTCTGCTCCGGGCGCCGGCACCCAGGAGCCCGGTAGCCTCGGTAGTACCGTCAACCTCGTCGGCCTCAGCCTCGTGGAGGCGTGTCCCGGTGCGAAACCGGCCATTTCTGGAGCTGTGAGCCATTGGACCGTCCCAGTTGGTCTTGTCAACCTGGAACTGTCTCTCACGGTGGAGCGAAAGCCGCGTTCACCTGCCAATTTTCAGTCCTGCTCCGTGCCTATTTCTTCGTGAAGTCTCCGCGAGTTGTTTGGTATCCGTGGCGGAGAAGAAGAGAGAGGAGTCAGATCCGAGATAACCAAGCGGTCAATTGAAAGCCGTAGCCGTAGCCGTAGCCGTAACTATTACGACACACGACGGACTCTTGGAATTTGATCTAGACCGGAAGCTTAACGTAGACAGTGTCCCTCGGGCCCACGACGAGTTGGCGCCAAGCCTCGGACCTGACCTAAATTCAGCCCAGCGCAGCACGAGCCATGCGTATACTGTACAGAACACAAGACGAGTCGCTTTCCTTGAGTGTGTCAGAGCAAAGGAATGAAATGCGGAAGGGAGTGTGAGGAATGTGGGTTAAGCTGGGGGTATCGGATGTAGTGCAAGTTAACCTAGCCTCCAGTATGTGTAGGGAGTGTATTTGTAAGGATACAGAGCTAACGTTAGCGAGTAGCCACTAGCCACAGCATATCTGATAACGGTAACTAAGCCGAAGCTGCCCAGATTCACTCGCTCCCGTCGGCATTCAACCCCAGGGAATCCCGATCAGAAAGTCTCCGCGAGCTTCCCACCTGAGCCATCCTCTCCAAACTCGGCTTTTGGCTCATGGCTCAGAATGCTCCTCTGTGCTAAGTGAAGCTCCGTGCCATCCGAAAGCTCAGATGTCCAGTAAAAGGGCAACACGACGTCACCATGAGCGGGACGCGCGAGCTTGATAACAAACCTATCAAGGTTGCAGGCTCCTTGCAATGCATCGTAAACAGGCTGTCCAATGATAGAACCGCAGCTGTTGGGCTAGGTATCAGGGGATGACGCAAATACCGTCAGGCACCTCAATGTATCAATTTGATTTGTCATTGGCAGGTCCTGAAGAGTGGGATACGTACGTACAGGTGTCTCTCAAAAGGTGCTCCGAGGTTCCTGTGAGGAAGACATGGAGTCTGGACGGAGGAAGGTGTATAGTACAACATCTGCCTGGAGCGTCTGTTAGAAGGGGTAGTACCGTATAAACTCGCCAAATTGACCTTTCTTCTACTGCGCGGCCTGAGGCACGCGACGGATCTTATCGCATATTATACCCACTTCAACCCATCTTCTTCAAAAGAACCTTCTGCAAACCCACTGCAAGCCGGTCGCCCAGGATTGGTCGGTTGGCCTTAGTACGTGCAGTAGAAGAAGGTCAATTTGGCGAGTTTATACGGTAGAGAGGATATTTTTGCACACAAAATTCTGGCTGCACTAACAGATCCTGTCCCTCGCGAAGTACTTGAACGAAGCACCGCGGGCTTACTCCGCAGAATCTCCGGACCAACCGCATTGCTTCCAAGTCGACAAGGCATCGCATACCAATTGTAATCGTTTCTACCAGAATGCATTGATTCTCAGGAAATACCCCCCCGTTTTTTGAGAAAGAACTACGCGGCCTGTAAGGTGAGTTGTTGCCATTAAGCAAAAGGGCAAGCCCGGTGGACACGCCTGACTCCCCGATGACTGCTCTGCTGTGTACATACTCCACTCCACGCGCCTGTTGGTTATATCTGCTGCTGCGCGAAGAACTTCTTGGACTCGGCGCACCTTTCGCTCTTACACCCCGGACACCTCAGGCCCATTTGCTTGGAGCAAGCAATCCCACTGTCCAGATGCGCCTTGGCTATGTCCGCAAGCGCCTTGATAAAGACCGGGCTTCCGTTCAGGCTCTCAGCGCGCTTGACCGTGTCGGCGTGCCCCGAGCCGCCTATGACCTCCTCGTCGAGTTCGAACAGGGTCTCGATATGGTCAGAGGTAAAGGCAATAGGGATCAGTATCAGATCTTTGTGGTCCTTGGCAATGTACTCCTCCACCGTCGTGGATGTCTGCGGGCCGAGCCAGGGCTGAGGGCCAACCTGCGATTGCCAGCATAGTCGCCACGGGTTGGAATAGCCGAGCCGTTGCATCACCGCCTGCACTGTGGCCGCGACCTCGGCCGGGTAAGGATCACCTGCAACACACGTCAGCCTTGGAAGCCCAGCTTTGGGGGAGACGGTTAGATCAGAGACTTACCTCGATTTACCACCGTCATGGGCAGGCTGTGCGCCGAGAAGAGCAGCACAACCTTGTCCCTCCTCTCCTCGGGATACTCAGCAAGCTTTGCCTCAATGTTCTGCGCAAACGCCTCGACCAGTCCGGGGTGTACCGGCCACCGGTCTATAACGCTCCACTTAATTGTCCCATCGCTCCCGTCCTCCTGCGGCAAAGCCTTTCCCTCCAGCCTCTGACGCCACTTCCATAATTCATTCAGGCTGCTCCCCGTCGTCGAGCACGAGTATTGCGGATACTGCGTGAAAGCGACGGCGCGGCCACCGCGGCCCCCGCCGAACCCGTCGGCCAGCAGCTGCAGGTACATGGTCTCGGTAAGCGGATTTGCGTAGCGGAAGGCGACGTAGGGTTTGTGCGGCGCCGTCTCGGGCGAGATCTTGTCAAGGATCTTGCACATCTCGCTGCATTGGTATTCGGACCATTTGCGAATGGGCGAGCCGCCCCCAATGGCAGCGTACTGTTTTTGGATCTTAGGTGTTCTGCGTTTGGAGATGAGCGGGCCTAGGTAGCCTTGAAGACGGCCCAGAGGGATAAGGTCGGCATCTGCCTGTAAAGCGCGGGTTAGCTATGCGCAGGGCATATGATAGGAAGGGATAGTAGACGAACAAATAACCTGCTGAGAAAGTCGCCCACTTCATCGACCGTTGAGGGACCGCCCATGTTTAGAAAGACCATGGCTGTCGGCCCTCTCGAACAAGTGGAATCCTGGGTTACTGGGTATACGGGTGATGCCAGCCATCGTACTTGTTGCGGCGAGGGTTTTCCGATACCTCCGGTCCGAAGGGGCCGCATCATCGCGGCCGGGAGTCGGAAGGCCATCGCGGAGATGCGTCGGTGATTAGGAAGCAGAAGAAGCACAGCCCTAGAAACGTGGGGAGTTGACAATTCCAGTAATCACGACCCAAAACCGGTTGGCTTTGAACAATGAGGCGCCGATAATACTTTTCGCGAGTCGTGGCGAAGATACACTACACTATACGGAGACGAGGGAGGGAGCGGCCAGATTTCGCTGATGACAGTCTTGACTCTTTCCTGGTTGTATCGAAATGCTCGGCATCGGAGGCCGGTTGAACTCCTGCTCTCTTGGCGTCCCATCCATGACGTGAGGGATCCGCTGCAAGCTTTCAAGCCAATGAGAGCCCCCCAATTGCAGCACCCCATTGCACATGCATCACATGCTTTGGCGTTAGGCAGGCGCGTCAGCTTGGAATCCGTCGCGTCGCAACTGAACCTACAACGCCTTTCCATCGTCTTTCCAGGGTTAACCGTCACTTTCCTATCACAATCAACCCTACGGCGATAAGCTGTGAACCCGTCTGTAAACTGCTGTGTCGAAATCAGCATCCTGAATTATGGCTGGGGCAGACGAGGACGAGCGGCCTCCTGAGAGCGACGAGGGTGAGGAAGAGCTGGATGAGACTGTTTGTCCCCTTGAAATTCTGATGTGAACTTCTACCAACTGTCTGGCCAGGACTATAAAACCCAGAAAGATGCGGTGCTGTTTGCAATTGATGTTAGCGCCTCAATGCTCCAGGAGCCAGCATCTGCCGGGCAGAAGAAGGCAGAAAAGGATTCGGCCATTGCAGCAGCCCTGAAATGCGCCTATCAGTTTATGCAGCAGCGCATCATTGCGCAACCGAGAGATATGATGGGAATCCTTCTCTTTGGCACAGAAAAGTCAAAGTTTCGTGATGAGTCTGGCGGGCGAAGCGGGACTGGCTATCCACACTGCTACCTCTTCACCGATCTCGACGTCCCCGCCGCCGAAGACGTCAAGAAATTGAAGGCACTAGTGGAGGAAGGAGAAGACCCGGATGGGGTGCTCGTTCCGGCCAAGGAGCCTGTCTCAATGGCCAATGTGCTCTTTTGTGCCAATCAAGTTTTTACTACGAACGCCTCGAACTTCGGCTCTCGACGGTTGTTCATCATCACGGATAATGATAGCCCGCATGGCAAGGACAATACCGCAAAATCATCGGCGGCTGTCCGTGCCAAAGACCTCTACGATCTGGGTGTTGTCATTGAGCTGTTCCCCATCAGCCATGGAAGCAAACCCTTCGATATATCAAAGTTCTATGACGTAGGACGCCCCCATTCTTTTTCACTATTCTCAAGCTGATCTTGGATAGGACATCATCTACCGGGATCCAACAGCCGAGGAGGGTTCGCCAGACGTGGTCAAGACCTCTAGTTCAGGCGATGGCCTATCGTTACTGAACTCCTTGATATCCAATATAAACTCTAAACAAACGCCGAAGAGGGCATATTTCTCCAACCTTCATTTCGAGCTTGCCCCGGGCCTCACAATATCAGTCAAAGGCTACATGCCTCTTCATCGTCAACAACCTGCTCGCACCTGTTATGTCTGGCTTGGCGGAGAGAAAGCCCAACTCGCCCAGTCCGAGACAATCAAGGTGGATTCGGCGACAAGGACCGTCGACAAATCCGAAATCAAGAAAGCATACAAACTCGGCGGCGAGTACATCCATTTCAAGCCAGAGGAAGCAGCGGCCCTGAAGAGCAGCATGGGGGGCAAAGTACTGCGTATCATCGGGTTTAAACCGCGGTCGATGCTGCCCATGTGGGCCTCAGTCAAAAAGTCAATCTTCATCTTTCCCAGCGAGGAGCACTACGTCGGCTCAACCCGTGTGTTCTCCGCTCTATGGCAGAAACTGCTCAAGGATGACAAGGTTGGCATCGCGTGGTTCGTTGCGCGAGAGAATGCAAACCCGGTGATGGTGGCCATTATCCCCTCCAGGAATCCAAACGGAGAGACACAATACCTCCCAACTGGGCTCTGGCTGTACCCGTTGCCCTTCGCCGACGATGTCAGGAATGTGGATCTGGCAGCACCACCTAGGCCTGCGGACGAGCTCACTGACAAAATGAGGGAGATTGTTCAGAACCTCCAGCTTCCAAAGGCAATGTACAACCCGCTCAAGTACCCGAATCCTTCGCTACAGTGGCATTACAAAATCCTGCAGGCTATGGCGCTCGATGAGGACACGCCCGATAGCTTAGAGGACCCAACAATTCCGAAATACAGACAGATTGATAAGAGGGTTGGAGGTTATATGGCCGAGTGGAAGGAACTGCTGGAGGAAAAGGCCAGGGAACTTATGAAGAGCAGAGCAACGAAGCGAGAGGCAGAGGATGACGATGATGGCAGGCTTGCGAAGCGCTCTAAGCCTGCGGCGGCAAAGAAGGCAGGAGGGCAGATGAGTAATGCGCAGCTCAAACTTGCCTATGAGCAGGATACGCTCAAGAAGATGACGGTTGCCGAGTTGAAGGATATAATGGTGATCAAGGGCCTGAGCACGGCAGGGAAGAAGGCCGATTTGCTTGAAAGACTGGGAGAATGGATTGAGGAAAATGCTTGAGTTGAAGGGGATCAGCCTATTCTTTCTGTACTATAGGGGCTATGGCTGCAGCGCAGTTTTGGAACCGTGGTCTGAAAACGTCTTGTATGGGCGCCATCTGAAGTCGTTACTTGCGCATCACCTTCTTGGCCGTTACTCGAACAATGCTACTCCGTCCTCCTCATTCTAACCCCCTTTCTCACCTCCTGCCAAAGTCAGGGTGGACCCAGCACTGTAAGATTACACTTGATTACCGTCACGTTACGGGCTGTTTTTGATTTTACACCCCACCATTTCAGCGGGACTTGCGCTCCACTGCACTGCAGAAGAAGCGTGGCTGCTCGCGGCAACTTCCTCCACGGCTCCACCCTTTTATTGAAGAAGCAACGGTCAGCATCCGCATCCACAAAGCCACATCGCGGCTTCCGTTGACCGCGACGGCTGCGACTCGCGCCCGGCCTTGACAACTCGTGGGCCCGCGGTTTCCGGGCTTTTGGATGGAAATATCCCACCATATTTGGTCATTTCCCAACCAGCGCCAAGTTCGTCGCACACCACACCACGCCGCCTCTGGACCCCGGAACGAACAATGGAGGCGTTGCTAGGTGCCAACCCGTCGAACCCTTCGTGCGACTCTGTCGCCGACCTCCAAGCTCAATTACGGGATCTATTCGGCAGCCGTGTGAGCGAGACGCGGGCCGAACACTGTTCGGTAACATTCGCGCTACGATCCAGCACCGTTTTCGATGTCCCAGTCTCGGAAGCTGAGAATGAGGTTCTCCATCACGCGTCAAACATCGATCCGCTGCTCGGCGGCGCACGTTCAAGTGTTGCGGTTGCCGAGACTGGGAATAGAGGGCTGGTGACACGTAGAATAAGCGCGATTGATGCCCTCATCAACCAGCCTCTCGACGACCCGGTTCTGCAGACGTCCATCACCAGACACATCATAACTGCACTAAATGAGGTGGATGGGAGCAACTGGATTGTGCGGCAGGTATCGCGAGCCGAGCAGGGCTGGACCTTCACGTATATCTGCAAGGACTCGTGGCAGGCGTGGAGTCGCCAGACTTCCAAAGTTCCGGCGAAGACCCTCATTGGGGAATGGAGCGAAAAGGCTGGACAAGATCCGATTCACTTATGTAGGCTCTCGCTCCAGGATTTGGTTTCTATGCCTGCTGACAGGCTGTGAAGCTCGGCCGGCCTTTGATTGTCGAGGGTCCCTCAAGATTGCCTTTTCCAAGTCGAGCAAGACCATCGATTTCAAATACGAGCATACGCCGATGCACAAGACGGTCGCCCAGTTGATCGAACTTCTTGCACCGCCTCCACCTGCACCTGTCGTAAAGACGCCGGCAAAAAAGCCGAAAGAGCCAAAGCCGCCAAAGGAGCCGAGGCCACCAAAGGAGCCAAAGCCCAAGACGCCCAGACCGTCCAAGAGGAGGCAGGCAGAGAATGGGGTTCCTGATGGGGAAGGCTCTCAGCCGAAAAAGCGACGTAAGAAGAAGGATTCGACGGCCCTGACTGGCCCCGACGGCAGCGTTCTGCCCCCGGAAATGCCGGGCGCCCTGCCCGTTAGCGACTCATCTGCGCGGCAGCTTTACAATGCGCAAACCGATTTTACCGGGCCAACCCAGCCAGATGGCTCAAGCAGTAATCCAGAAGGCCTTGTTAGTGCCAATGTCGCTGCAGCCGCTGATGACGGCGTGCACATCCACTCGATTCTTAACCTTCCTCCAGGAGAGGCAGCAAGGCGCCGAGATTTGGCGATAAAGCTTCTCAGCAAAGCCGGCGTCGATCCCAAGACCCTTTCAGCGGAGCAATTCAACATCTTTGCCAATCAGTCCCCAGAGCTGCAACAGGATTCCCTGGCCATGCTCGTTAAGTACGGCGCAGAGCGCCTACGCATCGTTCATCCCAATAAGGATGGTGCAGGCGCCGGTCAGTCTACTCCTAATAGGCCCCGCACGCCAGGCTCGGCCGGAAATGCGACGCCAGCATCTAAACCAAAAAGGTCGAGGAAAAAGAAATCTGATGCGGCGGCCTCCGCTCCGCCGGAAGACGGCGATGTGGGCGTGGCAGGTCCAGGCGTAACCCAGACACCTGAGGTGGCGGAGAAGAAGCCAAGGTCTTCGCGTATATGCGACAATTGTCGACTTGCCAATGTCAAGGGCAAGGTATGTGGACTAGCCGATGCTCATTTGAAGCCTAGCTTACAGAGTTTGCAGTGTGACAAGAAGAAACCATCCTGCTCGAGTTGTTTGCTGCAGGGCCTGCAATGTGTCTGCTCTCCTTCAAAACCAAGGCAGAGCAAAGTCATGTCAGCAGAGCAGCAGGCCGGTGGACAGAGTTCTGCACCGATAGCGATCCCGGATGAGGAACCTGAAGGCTTGCCATCGCCCGGCTTTCATACTGAGCCGGCGAGCGAACCAGTCCATCAGACGGTTCATGAGTCAATGCATGAGACTGTGAGCGAGCAAGTTCAAGACCCAGTTCATGACCATTTCAACGAGCTCCCCAATGAGACAGTAAACGCGCAGATCCCAGACACAGTCCCCCAAGAGATTGAATCCCCTTCAGATACTTTCGCACACTCTCATGGCATCTATCAGCATTCTTCCGGGATGACCTTCCCCCAAGTCGGGAACAATGCCGCTACTGAACTTCCCCAATCCGGCATCTCACCGTCGCAGATGGAATACGTTTCGCACTCGGTTTCAGAGACTCCCGGGAACTCGTTGCATAGCTACACTTATCCGGCACCGGCGGAGCGACCTACTGCGGAGTACACGAAGCAAGCCAGCACCGCTGTCGAGCAATCTCAAAGGGCTGATCCCGTTTCTCAGCCCCCGGCAAGGCGCAGTCTCCCGACCGGCCAGCCTGCTGAAACTAGTACCTCTATGTCTGCACAGAGCAATTGGCAGTCCATGGCGGGTTCATCAACTGCGGCAGTCCACGGGAACAGATCTTCACCGATGCAGTCCCGGGCTAAGAAGCCTGTTCCAGCTTCGCAGCCGTACGGTGATCTGTCGCAGCACACCTCGAGCTGGACGAGTGCGGATCAAGCTAGTGCCCACACTACGCAGCCTGCGGTCGCTTCACCGTCTCAGGCCGCCGCTCAGCCCGACCGTTCCAAGTCACGGCAGAGTAATCGAGCCCAAACCCATGCTCCTGTCAACAGCTTATCAGCGGCACGGCAAAGTCAGCCCCAAGCGCAGCAGTCTCTTGTCGATAACTCACGGTATACGTCTGTTGCTGCGGCCCAGCAGCCGATGTCGACGGACAACTACAGCAATTACGGCCAGTATCCGAATGCTGCGAGCGCACAGTCAGACTCGTCCGGTGATCGCATCGCCTACCAGCCATATGTCACCAACCACAATTCCACATCGTCCAATTCTTATTCGTCCTTTGATAACTACAACACCCGCCTAGCCAATACTTCCTCATCTATCGAGGCATCGCACAATGTAGCGACGTCCTATCCATCGACCTCAGTAGCAGCCCCAAGCAGCGCACAGTGGGGTTCGGCAGCGTCTACCTCGCAAACAAGAAATCCGCGCCCCTACAATACAACCCAGGCAGCGTCCGCCGCCCCGTCATACAACGTACCATCTAACTCACAGCAGTCGCAGTCACTGCAAGGGTTCAAAGTCCGTCCCCAGCCGCAGGCTCACGCTAGAAGCTCGTCCGGCATGTATGCCCAGCATCAACAGCAGCAATCGCAGCAGCCACCGCAGCAGCAGCGACAGCAGCAGCAGAGCTACAGCGGGTACATGAACCAACAGCAGTCGCATGCGCACGCCCCGAGCAGTACCGGCCGCCACCAACAGGGCTGGTACGGCTTCACGGCAGGCGCCGCCACTAACAACCCGTCCTCCGGGTACAATTCGAATACGGCTGCTGCCGCTACCAGCGGCGCCAACGCCTACTCGACTACTGCTGTTGCTGCCGGCTCGGCATCGCATGGCGGTCACGGCGCACATGGCCCACACGCCTCGCACGCACACGGCGGCAACGCCCACAGATCCATGAATCTGTCTAACCATGCCTACAGTAACATGGATGCGGCTGGCGATCAGGCACTGTATGACTTGCTGAGGAGTAATCCGGCCGGTTAAGCCGGGTGAGGTCACTATCTGAGCGGATTGCGGACAGGTTGAGAAGATTTCGTGTGGACCAGGGCTAGGTTTTGGACTTGCTTCCGCTAGGCACTGTCTGGCAATTGTATGCTGCTTGATATATTAGCTTGCTGCTCTTCTCTGGGGCGGGTATGCGTCTTCTTTTGGGGTTGGAGGTCCACGGAACTTGCTTGTAATGGCTGTGTGAAATTCACGCGGTACGCTTACTATCTCATGTCACTGGGCTAGGCAGGACAGGGTTCTTCAGGTTTACGGCTGTGTAGGGTTTCTTCCCTCTTGACTTCTAATGCGCCGGATGTAAAAGTATTACTCCCGTGCCCTATATGCTTATCTTCTTATTCAACGAGTGACGAGGGAGCAGTCTTGCTTCATGCCATATCTATATAGAATGGCAGGGAATGGACCTGGCTCGATTTGGCACGTGTTGACAGGCCAGGCTGATCTGTGTCAACCCGGGTACGCCCAGATGAGTGAAGAAGATAAAGTGGTGAGTTAAATATGTCCATCGAACTGTCCCTGTAACATTTCCCTCTCTTGTCAATGCTTGTTGCACAGATTCACCCGAATCGACCTCACCCCCCTTACCCCGACCTCATGGTCAATGTAGATGTCATAGTCCAAGGGGGGTAATCCAAGGGGTTACCAGGTCACCAGCATCATCGAATCGGGCTATAATAATGGTTATCTCTATTCACTGTAGATTCAATCAAGCCAAGATCTGTATGCAATTGTTGTGTTCTCCAAGTAGCTGGCGAAAGTATGTCCCTACTTTTATCACTCCAGCCCGCTACCATGCTCCATGCGCTGTCGGACTGAGGAACACAGATGCTTAGAAATGACAGCTCGAGATGCCGCAAAATCATGATGCTGGATGGCCACTCTATTCGGCTAAAAGCTTCGCTCATCTTGTTGGGATGTCAGATTCAAAATCAAGAAGACTGAGCCGCTCTGTCCGAAACCCTGGCACAATGTCTCGCACCGGAGTTGCCAAACCGAAGTCCATTTCACAGCATATTCCCAACGCATATTTTCTGGAGGCCCCTCCCATCTAAAAAGCAAAGACCAGCCCGAAACGCCGTCCAGGAGAATAAAATTGTACAGCCCGGTCGGATATCAGCCACGGACCTGTAAACCCAGAACAGTCCGCAAACCTGGCACAAAACGCCGCCCCTATTGCGCCGCCACGGCCTCCGTCTTGGTGTCGACCTTCTTTGCCGGAGGCGCCGAATCGCCATCATCTTCCCTGGCCCGCTTACCGTTGGGCTCGGCAGTAGACTGGATGGTGGGAATTTGAACACTGCGCTGCCTGTTAGCAAGAGCATGGGTGCTGAGAGGGAGAGGAAAGAGAGACATACTCATTAGTGCTTTTCTTGACCTCCTCGGTCTTCTTCTCCTCGCGGCCCTTGTTATCGCGCTCACGACCACCGCGGCCACCCCTGCCTCTGCCCCTACCACGGCCCCGACCACCGTGCTTGAACCCGTTCTTCTGGTCGCCCTCACGTCGCTTCTTCCAGTCGTCGTTATTCCCATCGCGGCTTCCACCACGGCCGCCCCGGGCACCGCCACGTCCGCCGCGCAAGCCCTTTTCCTTGCCCTCCCAGAAAATCTTTCGGCCACTGCTGGGCTCCAACAGACCCTCCTTGATCTGCCTGTTCTTCATTTCGAGGTAGTCGAGCTTTTTCATGATCAAGAGCTCGTGGCCCTTCCAGGTCGGGGCGGGGTCGAGCTTCACAAAGGCATCGGCGAGCTCGGCGCTGGCAAACTCGACGAAGACGGAGCCCTTGAAGTAGTCTTCGGCCGTGCGCCGGAGCTTGACCAAGTTGACAGGGCCGTAGGGGGCGAAGAAGGCCTCAATGTCGAATTGAGTTGATGGCTCCTCGTCGCCGAATCCCTTGACGTAGACGCTCGCTTGAAGCTTAGCTTTCTGGAGATCGGTCGACGAGGTGTAGGCCTTCTTGCGCTTGACCACCTCCTGGCCCTCCTCGCCAGAGATTTCGAGGAAGTTGCTCTCGCGGAGGGCGGCGACGACGGCTGAGTAAGGCTGGAACTGCCGCATGCGCTTGAAGTTGCAGATGGTTTTGAGCGAGATGGGCTTGTTCTCCTCGCCGCCGGTGTTCTCCCACATAAACTTGTCGCCTGGCAAGTTGCTGTCGCTGAAGTAGAACTCGACCTGTGCGCGGGGTCAGCCCAATTGCGACAACACCATTTTCGTAGGTTGATACGCACCTGATTCCGAATCTTGACCGGGTCGTCGGTCACTGGCTGGGTGTTGGGATCATATTTTCTGTTCTTCTTAAAGTCTTTGCGGTCGATCTGACCCGTAGTCTTCAGAATGTTTGGGGTCTTGTCAGCGCCATTCTGGGCGGCGGACGGAGCCTCCTCCGCCTTCTGATCGGCCTTTTCACTGGCGTCCTGCGCCTCGGGTGCAGCCTCTTCTGCAGATTTCTCAGTGGTACTCTGGGCGTCAGACGCGCCCTCTGCCTTCTGTTCGGCCTTGTCGGTAGATTCAACAGCAACGGCGCTTTCGTTTACGGGCTGGGCCTCGTTGGTTGAAGCGGCAGTAGCCACCTCGGGCTGGTCCTGAACGGCTGCGTCGCTCATATTGGGATAAGAGCACCGATGCGCCAGAAGGAATAGTCAAAGGATACGCTGCAGGCAAATCGTCATGCGACTTGTTCTGGCAATGACTTGGCAAAAACCTTCCGATTGTACTCTGATGGGAAGGAACAAGAGGTGGCTCTGCTGGAAAGCAGAAAGGGAAACAGAGAAATAGTCCTGGAAAGGCTGTTCGAAAATTGTTGGTGGGGTATTCAACCTTGAGCGGCACGATAACCACAATACCATACAATAGCACACAATACCAGACAATACTTCAGTTAGTCACACGGGATGAAATGCCCCAGGCACTGCGAGTCAGACCGAATGCTAACTTTTTGAACTTACAAAGTTCCAGGGCGATCAGGTATCTGTCAGTAGTCCGTTTTAGCCCACTTGACTAGAGTTGGAGAACAACAGCAGCCAAGCAGCTCCAATCGTCAATGTTTGTCTTGTTAACTCTGTGCAATTGTCATAACACTTTGGAGAGGCAATCGGCAAGCGCGTGCAAATAAATAAGGCTACGGGAGCTAGTCAATGACCCCACATCGAGTCCCTCAATTGCACTTTTTTATGCAGGCTCTCACCGCCCAAGCTCCAATGGAGCGTCAAGCCAATCCAAGACAATTCCTGACTGCAGCTTTGAGTGGCTGGAGCGCCCAGCAATCGCAGCCTCACGTGAGACTAACGCGTCGGGCGCAGCAGCATTGGAAATCTTTTCGGCTGATAAGTTACGGCCCTGATAGCATCAGCGACGCTGCCCATCCAGGTGCCTGGATCCCTGATACGCGACCTGACGGTTTGAACAACGGAAGGGACGTGGTCAATTGGGTGTCCTCGCATACACGAACAGAAAAGCACAATGAAGCAGCGCAGGTTATTGAGATTCCACGGCCTGAGGCGGCCGGTGAGTCCATCAGAAGCTCCTCTGCTGCACCGTCACTCCCGCCCACTTGCTAACCTCGTGCGTGCCGTCCTGTTCAGCGCGTTCGGCAAACCTGGAACAAGTACAACCTGTACAACCTTGTCAGGCTACGAACACCCTACCTCAATGCAAAAACCTTTTTCCAACAGAAATGGATAGCCAAATCCTACACTCGCGGCTACCACGGCGAGCACATCAAGGAGTATCAGTGGGAGCGCATGTTCAGCCGTCGCCCTCTATCAGCCGTTAACATGGACCCGGCATACATGGCAAGGAGGGATGGCAGCGAACAGGCTTCCGGCCGTGGTTCTGGCCTCGTTGGCCTCGACCCCTCGGAGAAATGGTCCAAGAATAGGGGCAACCTGAACCAGCCAACGCCTTACATGCAAATGTCGTTTGCTCCCATGGAGCGCCGCCTGGATATCGCCATTTTCAGGGCCCTCTTTGCCAGTAGCGCAAGACAGGCTCGCCAATTCGTGCTGCACGGTGCCGTGAAAGTGAATGGGAAGAAGGTATTGCTGCCCCTGATGCTTCATACAGTGAGATTCCCAGTCTGACCACTATCTCCCAATCTTAGATGCTGCATCCCGGCTATCTGCTCAACCCAGGCGACATGTTCCAAGTTGATCCCAAGCGGGTCATGACGGCAACGGGCAAACCAGACCGGTCCAAACCCAAGGCACTCAAAGTCGCGAGACCGCGCCTTTACAAGCCAGACGCTGCCAAGGCCGCGAAAAAGGAAGCCGCTGCAGGCGCTGAAGAAGATCTAGACGAAGAAGCGATCCGGAAGCAGAACCTCGAATTTTTTGAGGAGCTCAAGAAGGTCGCCTACTCGGCGTCGAACCGCTACCGCGGCAGGCATCTCCAAGCCAAGGATAAGCAGTACCTGCGCAAGATGGTCAAGGAAATGAAGTCGGTCCTGGCAAAAGCCGTCAAGCCGCCGACCACGGCCACAGCCACGGACGGCAAGACGGAAAAGGGGGACAAGAAGGGCAACTGGTTCGCGAGCAAAATAGAGGCCATGCTGGATTACCTTTCCCTCACACCGGCGGAGCGCCAAAACAAGTCGATGGAGCAACACGTCAACGACCAGTCAGCGAAGCCGGCAAGCGAAGAAGCCTCTTCAGACGAGAGCAAGAGCAAGAGCAACAAGCTCGTGATAAGATCGAAGCTGTGGAAGCAGCTGTCGTCGCAACAAAGAAAAAACATCCTCAAGGCCTTCCAAGGGACCGGCGGCCGCAAAGCACGTGGCAACAGCCTCCCCTACAGACCCCGCGACTGGATGTCCCCCTTTGCCTTCATCCCCCGCTACCTCGAGGTCAACCACAGGATCTGCGCCGCCGTCTACCTCCGCCACCCCGTCGCCCGCCCCGGCCTGTCCGAGGTGCCCACTCCTTTCTCGCCAAAGATCGCCCAGCTGGCGTTTAACTGGTATTTGCGTAGGAGTTGAGGCGGGTTAGGTGAGCGGGTATATCGTTGTTTGCTTGTAATGAGGAAGGTACTATTTGTAGAACAGCCTGCTGGGTGCAACTGGGCCTAGAACGGCCGAGGGGTAGACTTCCGGAACCGGTGTCGAGGGTTTCGCGGTGACGGGATAAAGGGCATGCAGAGCTCTAGAAGGATGGGTTCGGTGCTGGGGTCCATATTACCACCGTTCGGTCATGTCGTGTCGCAGAGCGGTGAGCGAGCGAATGGGCTTGCTTGCCTTTCCCCCTTACTCTCTTCCGCGAGACAACAATAGACCATCCCTGTACTCTATTTGTACATGTATAATAACAGCAATATGGTATCATACTTCTCATTGTGCCAATCCATAACATACAATGACTTTACCTTGGGCAGTGAAGCGTGTTTCCGCCTGTTTCTAGTTGCTGACGCTGACTCTGCTTCTGCACCCGCCTGTAGGTACAATTCAATGCTGGTTCGTTCGTTAGCGCAGAACTCCCGACAGGGCCCTTAGACCCAGATTCAAAAAGATCTCTCTCAACACTGAAAAAAGCTAAATCAACGCAAAAAAATAGAGCATCTAGTAAAACACTAACCGACCGTTTCATTCCAGTCCTACTTGCAGGGAAAAAGTGGCTGTTTTGGTGTTGAAATTCGAGTTTTTGCGTTGACCCTTGCCTTCAAGTCAGGCGCTACCGAACAAACCAGGGGGGCATTGTAGCGGCCTCAGAACGTAAACATGGCTGTGCCGTACAAAGATGCCCATACCCGCCATCGAGAGCCTTGCTGGGGCATGACAATGACCGCGATCATGGCGACGAGCAAGTTCATGGCGAAGCGGACCTTGTAATTGAAAGCCATAGCATCGCAAAGTGACAATCCAAGAAATGCTATAATTCGAGGAGTTGGAGCACGCAACGCAGTGGGAAAACAGATCCTTTTATTCAGACACAGACACTAAGCTAAACCACAAACGAGGAAGGAAAAAGTTGAGCGAAATAGCAGGCTACGGGTACTTTGAGGATAGCTGTGAAGCCTAGGGGAGATAAAAGCAGCTAAAAGGGGTATGGCGACGGCCGAGTGTGTAGAGAAGAATTTTTACCGCTCTGACGGGAGGCGCAAACAACGAAAGACAGGAAGATGTAAGGGGTATGATAAAAGAAATAGACGTCACGTTCTCCTCCGACCCTCGAAAACTCGTCATGAGATAATAGGTTGGATAGCCGGTCGTAGCGCCTTCATCCAAGGAGTCTCCCCGATCCTGTTCCCGCACGGCTGCCATCTTCCCTCACCACCCTTCCCAGAGACGGCCGTCTCTTTTGTAATTGCCGACATTTTTGAGGCAAACAGATCTCGTGTCCAAGGACATGGGCGGATTGGTCTGACGGGAAAGTGTCGACGAAGCCAATCAGTATCGCGAACAAGGGAGTACGGTGGGCTGAAGTCGAGAGAAGCTCGGGGCATCTCTGGCCATGAAATATATTCCATCCCGATGTCCGACATTCTCAGCAACGCCGCCGTCATACCCACTCCAACCCGAAATTATAGTATTCCTGTTTTTTTCGATCCCGCTCGGGCCATGAAGTATCGAGTCCGAACTCCACCAAAGCCAATTACATTTGCGTAGGACCTTGAGATAACCGACCGGACCCTCACCCGAGACGATAGAGGAAACCTGTCCCGACCATCTCGTTGGTAGCGTTAAGCACCTGGCAACAACTCGGACCGAGCCGTTGTAAGAGCTCATGGGGGCTTCCGAACGATCTTTTCCGCGAGTATTAAGGGGTTGTGATTAAGAAGTGAGACAATATGAAACGACAAAAGTATAAGAAGAATAAAGCGGCGAGCTGGTATCGGGTGGCATCATGATACTGAGACGGGTCGTAGAAGTAAGATAACGCGAGAGGTGCCAACACACGGCAAGGTTACCGGAGTGAGAAGCCCTTCCTCTTCTCCTTTTCCAGTGGCCGTCCGCTCTCCACCCTCGATTTCTTCTCCTCGAGCTCAAGTCGTTGCCGCTCCAGCTGCTCCTTCATCTCCCGGTGACGAGCGTACAGCTCCTCCTCGCTCTGTTTCAGCTTTGACTCCTTCTCGGCGACCTTTTGCTGGAATACCATCTTCATCTCGGCCTCCATTTTGGCAAGCTTCTGTTCGTGGAGCGCACGCTCCTCTTCCTGCTTGACGGCAGGGTTGACCTCCTTGAACACGCTCGGGTCTTGCGAGACGCCCATAGCAATGAGCTTGTCTGTACGGTAGTTCTCATAGAGCACGTTGTTGGTGTGCTCCTTGAGTTCCTCCATGTGGGTGCGGATGAGCATCTGACGCAGCTTGACAAAGTCGCAGTGCTCCTCGTTGTCCACCTCGATGACACCCCAAGGATAGCGACGGCCACGGACCTTGCGCCCATCTGCATTGGTGATCTCGTTATTGGCACCAACAACGGCGAACGGAACCTTGGACATGATCTCGTTGTTCTCAGCGATGGTCTCCTCGTCATCGAGCTCGTAGCGGGGACCCTCGAAGATTTGGACCTTGTGAAATTTGATATCCGCAAGGATCTAGGGATATGTTATTAGCCTCAATTCGTACGGCGATCCGCGTTCTGCACTCACTCTGGCCTTGAAGGCGGCCACCTCATCATCCGTCAGGGTATCGGCCTTGGCAATGACCGGGATAAGGTTGACCTTGGTGTGCAGCCGCTTCATGACCTCGATGTCCAAAGGCTTCAGGGAGTGGCCAGTGGGCTGGATGAAGAAGACGCAGGCGTGGATACGGTTGTCGACAATGTTCATACGGTTGACTTTGTTCTCAGCATCCAGGTAAGCATCGAAACGTTGCTCGATGTTGTCGACAATCGGCCGCCAAGACTCGTCGTTGTTAACAAAGTCGCCAAAGCCAGGCGTGTCGACGACCGTTAGCCGCAGACGCACGCCCGCCTCCTCGATATCGGCGCTGATGGACTGGATCGTGACGGTCTTTGGAATAATGTCCAAGCTGGGGCCCTTGCGCTCCTTGGGCGGGTACAGGGAGGTGTTGAAGAGGGTGTTGACGAGTGTTGACTTTCCGAGACCGGATTCACCTGGATGGCCGTTAGAGAGCCGCAAGTGTCAGGACCAAAACGGATAACGTACCAACAACCATAACATTGAAGTTGAAGCCCTTCCGGACGCTCTTGCGGTGCCATTGGTTGGGCAGGTTCGCGAAGCCAACGTAGCCCGTCAGCTTCCTGCGAACAATGTTCCTGTTATCGCTCGTAGCTGCTGGGGGGGCTGTGACCACAGAGTCAGACGATGGAGCTCCTCGAAAACCCTCTGAATTTGACGCTTGCGATCCGCCAAGTGGCGCAGGGTGGGCGGGGGCTGGGGGTTGGGGACCGGTGAGAATACCGTTTGCTGCTACAAAAGGAAAATTAGCAACTTCCAAGACAGTTTGCCGATGATAATAGTAAAGGGTTGTTTTGGGGCCAAATCTGGAGCCTGACTGTCAAAGGGCCTCCGCGAAGGGTGCTTCCGATTCAGTATTGACTCGATGGATGTATGAACAAGTTCGCCATGAGAAAGGAGGTTGGCTGAGGTGAGCATCGAAGTATCTCCAGCATCCAACAGCCTCAGGCAAGGTGTTCTCATCTCGTCCCTGTTCCCATTCGAGGACGGACCGCTGACTGGAAGCATGAAACCTGGCCGAGAGATCGCGCCAGATTCAGGAAGAGGTCTCCCAGGGCTACCCTCGAACCGCACATTCTTGGGGCGAGTATCGGAGCCATGGGGAACAACGGTAGCAAAGCTCATCTTGATGGTTGTTGCTTATAGCGTATTCCCGATGGTATGATGGTCTTGTCCCTCAAGAGAATCTTCCCAGAAACGGCAAATGGCAGAAAGATATAAGGATGGTGTCGGAGCATGTGAGACAGTCTTGGTAGGGAGGAGAGCGGAAAGCGGGGGGAGCTAAGGGCGTCGTTTTCGGATCACTTCGAGCTCGGGAAGGGGTTGCCTTGGTGCCATTCCGGGGATGATGATTCCTGCAGTTTGCTCCCCAAACAGACACTTCGGGCGAAGAAACAGAAAGCAAGAGCTTACCCATTGTAAAAGGTTGTGGTAATGGACCACTCGAGGATTATGGAACGAGAGGAAGGTACGAAATCTGTGCGCAGAAAGAACACGTCAGTTAGAACCGGCCGTTTGGATTAGCTTTTTCCATGTGGAACACAGTGGTACGGTGAAAAGCACTAGCAAAGCTTCATTGCTGTGTCAGGATGGTCGAGGGCGCGACGTCCGAAGACAATATACAGCTGCCGCCATCGACACACAGGAAATGGTGCAGCTTCGCCAACGCCATCGGCTGGGACGTGCAATGGCGCTCGATATCGACGTCGGTAGGAAGTGGGAGGTGGGAATTCTTCACATACCAATTCAGGCAGAAAAAGAGCCTCGGGAGTCGCGTTTCGGCAAGGCGTGCACCGCGGAAAGGCAATTGCTACGCGAATTCTGAAAAGTGTAACGCTTGACAGCGTCGGAATAGGACAAGAAAAGAGTGTTGAGAAGGACAAAGGGTCAAAGTGAGGATACGAGGATGAACCGTGTCGCGGTCGTTGAAGGGAAAAATTTAGGGTGCGACAGACAGGGAGATGAACGTCTGTCTGTTTCGCTGGAGCAAAAGGGGGTTGTGCTGGGCACTGATGCTTTGGGGGGAGATCCAGTGCAGGGGTTCAGGATGGGTTAAAATGACTGCAGGCAGGGGCCAACCAAGACCTGTGATTTGCTGGAGGCTTGCCAATGGCTGCCGGTTCCCCTGCCTGACCAAGCACCAAGATCTCGGCCTCAGGATGCTCATTTGCTCCCGCAGGACGACAGAGAACATGGCATTGGACACTCTTTGCTTGCTTTTACGAGAACACCTCAACTCGTATCTGTGACTGAAGACGCCGTTCTCCATCGATGTCATCGATGGTGATGGGTCTACTTAACTCTACCCCGGTTGCCCACACCCGACCCCACTGTCCCGTCAATGGCCGTACATATACTTCTCCGTCCTCCTGTATACTACACTACTAGAACATTCGTATCTCAGCAACAGTGTCAGCGAATGTGCATCTTACCAAGTGGGCTTTCCGACGTAGCAATGGTGTCGCTCCGAATTGAGGACACCGAATCCAACTCGAAGACGCCTCATTGTGGTACTGTAAGTTAGGGATCACTTGAGATCAGGAACTCGATTCAAGGACTGCACACGGATCCGCGAGGTCCTTGAGGCTCTGGGGAACCTTGTGCCCCAACGATGCAGCATTGGCCATGGTCCGTTGGACGTAAGTTACACAACGGGTTTGTCGCCATCTCTTCATTGGATTGAGTGTTTCAATCTGTGAAGCTTGAATCGACATCAAGAGAGCCATCACTCGATTGAAGTGATGGCCAAGCAGTTTTGCTTCTTTATCGAGAAAAGTTTTGAGTTGGTGTGACATGCCATGTCAGCCACGCGTGATTGCTGGGATTGAGGAAGTCGATCGAAATTGGGAAAATGAAGCTCCCAAAACCCCTGGGTACAATTTACCGAGGCTTGGCAATCTCTGCTCTCGCTGCTGCGATGTCTTCGCTTATACGGAGCAAACCGCATCTCTTCATGCTTCTCAGCACAGTCATGATATGCGAAAAGATCTATGGCTGCTGTCGTGCAGCAGCAGCTCAACGTCACCACTCTACTACTTGGCAGCCGCGCATTGGGCCTCGATCTAACGGGCAGGTATCTCACGATTGGTGGTGTGAGCGCGGGATAGGGGGAAGGGGCGCCCATGCCAGGTCCTTCGCAGCACGGTGTTTGGTTGGATGGCGGCACATGATTCGCTGTGAGGTGTGCTTGGATCGGCCGAGACTCGGCTTTTCACTTTCCATCGGCTCAGCAAAGGGCCCGTTCATCGACTCTTTTCGGATCCGATTCATCCAAACCCAAGCAAGGCCGACACGGAGGGAATCCGCCCTTAACCAGACCTCCCAAGGATGGTTGCCCATGGCATGCATTCTGAAGGTATTTGCTCCGTACAATGCAAGTTAATCGGTCCCTTGGTTATCCATTCAGGGGTGGAAGAATCCTCGGCCGCTCGGCGAGGTCCGTTCTTTGGGTAATGGTCGAAGATCTAGAAGACTTGTTATGGATCGATCAGAGCGGGCCGGGCCCCCTGTTCACATTCCCAATCCGTGCAGCTTTTTCCTGCATGGAGACCGATGATGTCAAGGAGCCGCAACACCACATCGGACCATAAACGTTAATTGAGAATTGAATTTTCCATGACAGAACTGCTCTTCGCGACATTGTCTGCTAACATTAACATGAGCGTGACGAGAAACAGCACCATCAGCAGGACCATGTGGGAACGCCGATACGGATAATAGTGCAATAAATGTTTGACAGTCCCTCTGTTGGCTCCGAGCCACCATGGGTCTGCACTCAAGAAACATCGCGAGCCTCAACGGCTTAAGGCTGTTGACCTTTTCTCAGAGAAGCGTCGGTTTCCTCAGCAAAAGGCCCAAACCAGAGACTAGGGGCTTTCCGCCCTCACAGCGCTACCTGATCTTACCACGGCATGATGCCAAACCGAAAGTGCGCCTATCTAAACTGATAGCGGTGGCTGCCACCAGCGGCTTGTTTGCGGTCTGGCTTTACCCGGCTGATGCATTCCAGCATAGCGACGGTATTAGGAGAAATCTGGCCCCAGGGAATCCCCGGGTAACATCAGACCAGACCCGTGATGCTGAGGGCGAGTGCGACGAGAGCGCGAGCGCGTGGAACAGATTTGTCCGGAACCTCGAGTCGCTTGTTCCGTCAACAGACGGCCTGTCCGAAAAGGTGGTCGACTTGATCATGCCCGAGTGGACGAGGAACATACCCGGCTACGTCAGAAAGCTGCAGCGCGAGTTGAACATGGCTCCCGGATCACTGGCCGCCGAAATCTGGCAGGAGGCACATGATCCATTTATCCACCCCGAGATTCGCTACTCGGCAAACGTTCGTGTCTCGGACGACCTCTGCGACGACGAGAAGACGTTCCTAGAGCGTAGAAAGAAGGTCATTGTGCCTGCGCTAGCCAGGTATCTTGGGCTGAATGAGGAGGATATTCACCCAGACGACATCCCGACCATCGCCATGTGCGGTTCTGGAGGTGGTCTGAGGGCACTCGTCGCCGGGACAGGGTCTTACCTAGCAACGGTAGAGGATGGGCTCTTCGACTGCATCACCTATTTGTCGGGCGTCAGTGGCTCTTGCTGGCTTCAGACGCTGTATTACTCGTCGGTGACAGGGGCCGATTTTCGGCGAGCTATCGACCACCTCAAGGCTCGGCTTGGCACTCACATCGCATACCCGCCCGTGGCCTTCGTTTCTCTAATGTCTTCTCCGACAAATAAGTACCTGCTAAGCGGCTTGGTGGAGAAACTCAAGGGCGACCCCGGGGCCGAGTTTGGGCTCGTCGACATTTACGGGATACTCCTGGCTGCGAGATTGTTAGTTCCAAAAAATGAGTTGGGGGTGAACGAGAAGGATTTCAAGCTGTCAAACCAGGCAGAATTCATACGATACGGCCAAAATCCACTGCCCATCTATACTGCAGTGCGGCACGAGATACCCGAGTTGGATTCTCCAGATTATGGCGGCCCGGGGTCCATCTCAGAGGAGGCCAAGGATCGGGCCAGAAGAGAGGCGTGGTTTCAGTGGTTCGAGATCACGCCCTACGAGTTCTTTTGCGAGGAATTCTCAGCCGGGATTCCTACATGGGCGCTAGGCCGAAGGTTCAAAAATGGCTCAGACGTGCCTGAGCCTTCTGGGTTTCGCCTGCCGGAGATTCGTATGCCCTTACTCTTGGGGATTTGGGGCAGCGCATTTTGCGCAACTCTGAGCCATTACTACCGCGAGATCAGGCCGCTCGTCCAGAGTATTGCCGGCTTCACCGCGGTTGACGAGCTAATATGGGGCCATAACAAAGATCTCAGCATGGTCCACCCCATCGAGCCGGCGACTATCCCTAACCCAGTCCACGGCATGTACGGCAAACTCCCGCAGGCAGTGCCCCAAGGAGTCTACGACAACCAGTACATTCAACTCATGGACGCCGGCATGTCCAACAACCTACCCATCTATCCTCTTCTCCGGCCCGGCCGCGACGTGGATCTTATCATAGCATTCGACGCTTCAGCCGATATCAAAACCGACAACTGGCTCTCCGTCGTAGAAGGCTACGCCCGACAGCGAGGTATCAAGGGCTGGCCGGTAGGCATCGGCTGGCCCAAACCCTCCGAGCCGCCCGCCGAAGCCGCCGCCGAGCTGGACCAGGCCCAAGCCCACTCCGCTGCCGAGGCAGAAGGCAAAGTCGCCCAAGCCAAGACGGATCAACAAGCCCTGCACCCGGCCGCCGTTCCGAAAGCCAGTGGCAACGCCACCACGACCCCTATTAACGGGCAAGAAGAATCCGTCGAACCCCAAACCGAAGCCCAAAAACAAACCAAAGCCACCACCGAACTAGGCTACTGCACGGTATGGGTCGGCACGACCGAGGAGCGGTCGTCAGACCACCCGCCGCCGCCGCCTGTGGACGATACCTCGTCGTGGCGTCTGACGTCGCCGGACGCGGGCATCGCTGTGGCGTACCTTCCCCTCCTGGCCAACGAGGTCGCCGTGCCGGGCGTCGACGTGGCTATGAGCGACTACATGAGCACGTGGAACTTTGTTTACACCCCAAAACAAGTCGACGATGTGGTGCGCCTGGCGCGCGCCAATTACGCCGAGGGTAAAGAACAAATCCGCGCCACGGTGCGCGCCGTCTACGAGCGCAAGAGGAAGCGCCGCCTCGAGGCGCAGGCTGAGGAGCGGTTCCGGGCCCTCGTCAGGCGCGGGGTTTTGCTTGGGAGGTGGGGGGAGGGGGATCATTTTAGTTAGTTTGAGCGGCTGGCGCTGTTGTGCTGGAAGGGTCTATTGGGTTTATATACTGGGAGGGGAAGAGAGTGGGTGGTTGATGATGCTGTTCTTTATAGAAGTGTTGGCGTTTCGAAGGGCTCCGGGTGCTCGGTTTATACCTACCTATATGGCGAGGGTGAAAATGTAGTGACGTATACCAAAGCTTCAGGTATCTAATAACAGGAGCACACTCTCCGATGAGGCGTGCGAGATACATTGTTTCTACGTGGCGCCTTCTAGTAGTATGGTAAAATACTATACATATACACTGACTACTACACTGACACGGCCTGAGAGGCGGGTCTCGTGTCTCTCTCCCCAACTCCATCCATAAATCAACCGCGCCCGGGAAGCGCCGCGTTGCCAGCCCATGCAGATGGATGTCCTGATGTGCTAAATCGTACAATATGTGTTTTCCCTTTCCCGTGCTAGAACGTGGAAGAAGGGAAATTCTATCCCGTCGCTCTCCTTCTCACCCCTCGAGCGCTGCTCTGCAGCATCGATTTCGGAGCTTCGCAGCCTCTGCCACCTCGACCGAGCCCATTTACCGCGCAATAATCTCACCAATATCCATGTACACGGGCTCCCAGGGCTTAGCACCCTCGCTCAGCATGTCGCTGGGCACGCGCACGTGTTCGCCGGGGCTGTACAGGTACCAGCTTTTAAGAGCGTTCGTGGCGGCCTTGTAGCGGGCCTGCTCGAGGGTGGAGCCGGCCGCCTCGCCGAGCTTGTCGTTGCCCGAGTAGATGCCGACCACGAATACCGGCGTGCGCGAGAGGCGACCCGTCTCGGAGAGCAGGCGGGCGACGGGCGGCTCAAAGTCCTCGCGGGCGCACAGCAGCGAGAGCTCCGTCGTGGGCTTTCTGAAGCTGAAGAGTTTAGATATGTCGAGCGTCCGCGAGAGCACGTGCGCGTTGACAAAGTCCTTGACCGTCTCGCGCCCGCAGTGCGCGTAGATGGCGCCGACGATGGCCCGCGCGCACGTGGCAAAGGCCATCTCGGCCAGCGACCGCGTCAGCTCGTTGCCGTACTCGGTGTCGGGCCGCGCGGCCAGGGCCTCGTTGCTCAGCCGGTTGTGGACCGTCTCGCCAAAGTCGTCGTCGAGCACCACGCGGCTGCTGATGCCGTGGCGGAACTTGTACTTGTCGAGGTATTCGGCCTCTGCGCGTTTGTAGCCAAAGGTTGTCATGGCATCGCCCCTTTCCTTCAGCGAGAACTGCAGCAGGCCCGGGTCAACCTCACCGCCTGGCGCGGCGGCGTACTCGATGCCCCATGACCGTGCTACTTGGTGCAGCGCCGTGGGGCCGGCATAGGCCTTCATGGCGCTATACAAGACCTCCATGGGCAGGCGCGGAAACCGGCACATGAGCCACTCGGCGACGTGGTAGTTGATAAGGGTCATGCCGACAAAAGCGAGGTTCGAATTGTTGAATTGGGGGTTCTTGTCGGCTGAGGCGTCAACCAGCGCTCGTGCGAGCGTCTGGAGAGGAAGCTTTTGAGAAAGGGATAACCGGGCATGCAGAGCGGCCAATTTCGGCGACTGCAGCGCCCGCTCGGGTAGTGGAGATGGGAGACTGGTTGATCGCGGAGGGAGCTTCTCGAGGGGAGGAAAGCGTGTGTGATCTGTCCCGTCATGGTCGTCCGGGATACTATCTTCCGTAAATGGTGTTGCGGCTGTGGATTGATGCCGCACGGCGGCGCATCTAGGAGCAGATGCAGGTCGGAAAGCGGCTAAGGAAGTCGAGACCGGCGAAGCTCCGGGGCGAGCCACGAGCAACTGGCCCGTCCATCGGTCGAGTCGTAACCTCTTCATGGGCGATGCTCTGGAGCTGGAATTGGGTTCGAAAACCCGGGTGAGGTTCGCGGTGCGTGCCGGGACCCGGTCGTGGACAAAGACGCGGACTGCAGTTTGGCACTTGGTGGTGTGCTGCCGGTCGCGTGTGGTGCCTTTCCTCCCAAGTCGCCGTCAGACACGGAGAGGAAAAAAGTTCTCCAATGCGCGAGATGGAGCTTCCGTCTCGGCCCAATGCCGTTGCAGGGTTAGGGGAATGATTGGCTGACATAATTACCTTATGCTTGGCGCATTTTTGTAACTTACACGATGCACCTTACACAGTACAGTAACGTTACCGTACAGACGTGAGGTAATGCCCCATTCGTATCCGTATGCATGCAGCTCCAATTCGCGGCGATTGATTGGCTTGCACAACCTCGACAACGACGACATTCGAGGTTCAACATCGCATTCTTCTACCGCCGTCACCTATCCCGCGCTCTTTCCACACCAGTCAGACGACTTACAATGGTACGTTTTTTTCTGCTTGAGTTTACCTTCAATTTACTGATTATAGACTTTGACGTTCTAGGGCGGCGGGCGCAAGATCCCGTAAGTCTTTCGGTCGAAGGTCGGCAACTTCCCAGTCTCTAATCACACCCAACTCGCAGCTATCCCAAGCACGTCTGGTCGCCGGCCGGTGGTTGGTATTCGCAGCCGGCCAATTGGAAGGCCAACACGGCGTTTTTCACAGTCGTCATCTTCGGCATCACGGCAATGGTGTGGAAGCTGAGCGCCGAGTTGGAGTACCGCCACAAGATGCCCGAGCCCGATCGATTCTACCCAAGCAGATAGTATGTTGGTGACTTCTCTTGGTTGGATGGCATCGCTAACCGTGGTTGTTTCTGGCAGTTGGAGCAAGCAAATTATCGAGTACGAGAAGAAGCAAAAGGAGAAGGCAGCAGAACAGTCGAATACGGAGGCGTCATGATCCGTATTGCCTAGGCCTTGGGGGGGCTTCTACTTGTACTGTACATGGAATGAAATGGCATAAACGTTACTTGCCCCAGGATGTCACCCGGAGCCTCACATTTTCCTTGACTTATCGGGCTTGTGCGGAGCGGTTGGACCAACGGAAGGTTATTTCCCCTTGGCTTTGCCTCTCGGAATAGTCACCCTGTCCGGTGAGACATGATGATTATGTCCCTTTCGCCTGATTTTCGCAAACCAAATTCACTCCATCATCGGTATACCCTGGCTTGAACAGCTCCGTTGTCACTTTGTCAATCTAATGTCTCCCGGTGTATATAAATGCAGTGACCCCCCGTTGCAATCCCCCTCTGATTACTCCATTTGCACCAACACCCACCAAAATGGCTGATAATCCAGTTCACGATCCCGCTAACGCTCCCGCTGATGCTCCGGCTGATGGCGGTCCAGCTCACGGCCAAGCTCACGGCCAAGCTCAACACCAGGCTCACATCCACGCTCACGCTCCGGCCAGTAACGCGGCTAACAACCCTCCCGATGACCCAGCCGACCAAGAGGGCCATTTCACGCCGGATCCGATTTGGACCTTTTGCCAAACTGATGACAACATTGTGTGCCCAATCTGCATGGAATCCAAGCTCACTCTTCCACCGGATGATGTCTTTGAGACTTACAGCCCGCCGGATACAGTTCCGTGTCTTCTTCCCTGCGGACACGTCTTCGGCCACCGCTGTCTCAAACGGTGGCTGCGAAACAACAACGAGTGTCCGGCTTGCCGCTTGGACTTGCAGTGCGTCTTTTGCCCGCATAGCATCAAGCCCCGCATGCTGACCGGCATCTCCATCTGGTATCTTCCCAAGACAATCCCCGAGGGTGGTACCTTTCCAAGAATGTGTTCTGCTTGTCAGCGGCGGAAGCACCTCCAGCAGTGGTCAGCCCTTTGCGCTAACCTGTGGACTAAGTATGCCGAATCCAGACTACGATACGAACTGTCAGGAGCCGAGAACGATAGGGTGGCTATGGAGATTGACAAGCAGAACTTTGATGACCTGCGAAACAGCGTTCTGCCCGACTGGGAGCAGCAGTGGTAAGCCATTGATTGGAAGAATCTGAACACCGCAACTGGGTAGGTGTATGAGTGGACTATGGTAGCTTTGGGAGAGGTAGCTTTGGGAAAGGTAGCTATGGGAAAGGTAGCTATGGGAAAGCTAGCCTTGGAAAAGGTTTACAGTAGCTTTCAGGCCTTTGACATGCCCTCATTGTATGGTCAACGGCCAGCACTGAACAGATTGATTAGTATACCAAATATCTCCATATCTCTCAAGACAACGTGACACCACAGTAATTCCGCCAACCTAAAAAAGTTCGAATTAGGTAGAACAGCTTCATTGTACTCCATATAACAAAGTCAGTGTCCGCAGATGCAAATATCAAAAACCAGCCACTTGTAGGAGTCGATTTGCGGCATATAGCAGGTACTTGAGCATCATCAGTTGCGTGTGTGACATTCCGGGGTAGCTGTATTGGCATACTATCTGCGTACCTGCCCGGGTTATAATGGCTAACGACGTAGTTCCCGCCCCTTTCTTCCACTCCTGCACTGTTCAACTTCGCCCGCTACCCCCCAGAGCGCATGATGCAGACTCTCTAATGTCTTGCGTAGAACCTCCATTCATTACCTGATCCTAACGAACTAACTATCTTGCTTGCTTCGTCCGTCCTGGCTGTCTCACGGGGCATCAAGTCTCCATATTCCGTGGGGAATGCATTCACCGGAAGGTACCAGACAAAGGAGATTTGGCCAACATTCCTCTACATCCAGATGCTAGCTCCACTACATCTCAATGAACCATACCCATTCAACGTCGTGTGCGATACAGATTCCCACACCCCCTATTTTAGAGCGTATCCTCACCCACCCCATGCAAGGGATCGGTTTCTGGTAACATGCCCAATAGCAACACCAACGGGGCGGCCGCCGACAGGACAACGTCACGAGCGATCGGGGCGTTAATGTATCAGGGTCCAGTAACGGCGTTATAGGGGCTGGTCGTAGAGGCGGATGTGAAGGGACCAGATAGGAGCAGCTGGTGGGATGCGGCAAAACTTCTAAAAAAGACTTGCTCAGTTTGGTAGGGACTCAGTTTGGTAGGGGTTGGGCCATGCGGTGTCAGATTCGTGGTATAGGATGATACAATACAATAAAAAAAGAGTCTTTGCCCTGGCTTGACGTCCAGACATGGCATCAGTCACTCCAACCCAACCCAGCCAACCATTCACCATTCTGTCATGGTTCGTTTTCATCATAACACAGAACATCGGTTCATTACAAGAAGTAATCAGCCACCGGTTTCTTAGCTGGCATCCCCCTCGAGTCCTGCGGCGCCGCCTGAAAGACGCGGTATCTCCTCGCCGGCCCGCTCCTTGCGCCCATGAGGTCATTCTCCATCAGCACGCCGCGCGGCCCAACCCCTCCATCGCTCCGATTCACCTCGCCATTGCTCCGCGCCAGCACGCCCAGGCCGGACTCGTCCTCGGACAGCTCGAGCAGCGCGGCCACGTTGCCGCAGCGGTAGCAGTAGTTTGGCGCCGACCATACCGTGACGATGCTCGCATCAAACATTTCCTTGAACCCTTCCATGACAAGCTGGTGCGCGCGCGCGATAAGGCTGAGGTCGTTGCGGTGGTTGAATACCTTGACAATGTCGGCGCCAAACAGGAACCCCGCGCCGCGCGGCGACAGGCCCCAGCCGTCAATCTCGTCCGGATCCGACCACAGCAGGTCACACATGGCCCCTTCGTGCGGCACCTCCTGCTTGCGGTCGAGCAAGCGGATCTTATCCACCATGTCGATCAGCGGACTCAAACCCCCGTGCACGCACAGGACCGCGCCGGCTGGATTGCCGACCGACCCGCCGCTCGATCCCGACGCGCCTGACCCCGGCGGGCCTGTGTTTGCGGGCGCCGATGAGGATGCGCTCCCACTCCCGCTGCCACTGCTGCTGTCGCTTGATACCCCATTACTCAACCCCCCGTTGGGACTCGCAGTCCTAGCCCCTCCCGTACCATCCCCCTTTGTCTCTTTTGGGCGTAGGAAGCGTGATATGACGTGGCCGTGGGCGTTGTGCACCTCGATCTCGACTTCGTCGGCAGGCGGCGAGGCTGCGGGCTGGCCGCTGCTGGAGGGCAGGGTGTTTGAGGCGCCCAGGACGATGGCGCCGAGGGCGAGGTAGTCAAAGACGTCGCAGCAGTAGCGCCACACGTTGGCGCTGCCGTATTTCCGCAGGCACTCGTCGTAGAAGCCGTAGACGGTCGTGATCTGGCGCGATTCGTGGTTCCCCCGGATGAGGGTCATGCGGTCTGGGTACCGCACTTTCAGGCAGAGTAGCAGGAGGAAGGATTCGAGCGAGTAGAAGCCGCGGTCGACGAAATCGCCTGGAGGTGAGGATCGGCAGATGTTAGCACTAGGGGAGCCGACAAGTTCGTGAAGCTGCAAGGGGAAACAATCGCTGCTCTCGCTCGCGCATACCCATAAAAAGGTAGTTTGTGTCGGGGACGTCGCCTCCAACCCGGAAGAGTTCCATCAGATCATGGAACTGGCCATGAATATCCCCGCATATCTGTAACTCTGATCAGCCCAAGGAACAACCCACATCGCTCCCGCAAGCAGTGGCGCATACTGTGACCGGCGCGTTGACCGTGACGACATTCCCCTCCTCAATGAGCAGCTCCCTGGCCTTGTGGCAGAGCTGGCGGACTTCCGCTTCCGGAATGGGTCGGCATGCACGCAATTGGGCGATGGCCCTATCGTGGAAATGTTAGGAATGGAATACGATTTGGGGAATGGTTGCATTATCCGATGGCCGCGACACTCACCTGTCGAGGTCGCTCATGCTGGGCAAGTGGGGTGTCTAGCGGCGAGGGCAGTTGGGAACAGACGGGCAGTCCGAATTTGCTGTGGCTGAGATCCCCAAAAAAGATGGGAGATGTTTGAACCCATCAACTAACTCGCATTGTGCTTAGGTACCCTGTACCGGCCTTTCAAAGGGGCAGGCTCTTGCAAAAAGAATTAGCAAAAAGCGGTCGTCAAGATAGTCGATGTATCAAGAGGTGTTGCCGCTCTTGGGCGATTTGCACATGCCTCCGGCAGGCGATATCTATATTACATAATACCAACGCCAAGCTATACTCCAACACCAAGTAAATTATAGAGGACTTTAAGTCCAACAGCACGCTCATGCCCCTAGCCAACTTTAGCTCAATCACCTTCACCGGCGCCAGCCGTCAGCATCATCTCAGGCAGCACCGTCGGCGTGTCCAACGCCCAGATTCTGGGCATTAGGCAGCGGGGCACGAAGTACACCAAGTACGGGACTTCTAGCAACTCCACGGTCACTTACGTATATAAACATAAAGCGTGGGCACCAGACGTTAGTAGGCATAGCTCCATCGGAGAGCCTAGGACTGTGGACATGATCTTTGTCTCGGAGAATTGGAACAGCTGAGTCGATGGCTCATTTGCTGGTGGTCGCGGGGGGGTTTGAATGAACTCATGTCCCAAGTCCCAACCCTCATTTCAAAGGGGCTAAGCCCAGAGTCCCTGACGACCGTGACATCTCCTGCTCCCTCAAACTAGTCAAGAATGATTCCACGATTTCATCTTTACCAGCTCTCCTATATGCATTAAAGATGATTGCCTCTGCCTCGTCGCCGCCCCCTACAGGCCTGATGTAAGCCATCACAATGACCGCTGGGAAGTAGGTCAGTTGTGCGCCGAAGATGCCCGACGACGGATGCAGCATGACCGTCACGACGTCTGCTATGCTTCGAAAGTAGGTCCGTGGGTCCGTATATGGCGGCAGCCGTGCAATTTCAGATGGAGAGAGGAGATCGCGGAGGGTGCTGTACGTAACGATGCAGGCGCACCAGTATATAGACATGATGTGCGCCGCGGCAAGTACGTCTATGGAGAAGGGTGCATTCAAGACTTCTAGCGCGCGGTTGGCGTCCCCGAAGTGGGCTGTGTTGACCCAGAGGGCAAGCTCGGCGTCCAGTCGCCAGCAGGTTTGGACCAGCTCTTGACGGAGAGCTTCGTACAGATTGGGGTCTTTTTGTGCTCCTAGGATGTCATAGTCCTCAAGAAGTCCGGTTGTCGCAATGAGAATGTCGACTAGGAGATCCTTTGGTGTCTTGGGGATCGTTTGCCAGGGGATGGTCATCCAGTCACGGTCACTCATGGGTGCCCTCTTCCGCATCTGTAGGAAGCAGCTTGCCTGGGGGTTTGAGGGTGGGTCAGCAACACTTGGAGTCATGATATGTTGGGAGAATCTCACAAGATGAAGCCTCCCGTCAACCCATAACTGATGCAGGTACCCCGAAGCGTAAGTTTCAGGCGGCCGACTCATGATGAGGGCGAGTTCGCCTTGGATATGCTTCCGCCAGTTTTCTGCTTGGGCCAGCAGGTCAAGGGAGTTGTGGCCGCAATGAACCTGCCGTGATGCAAATAAGACAGAGTCTCGACTGCATTTGGAGATAGCAGTTCCACAATTCAACATTGGCAAAACACTCACCTCATACATACTAAACAGCCTCGCCGCAACGACAAGCACCGCATGATCCACCTTCCCTGGATTCCTCAGCGCCCCCGCCATCGTCGAAAGAGATGAGGTGTAATACCTCAAGCCCTCCTCCCTATCCCTCTCCCTCCCCGACGCCTGTCCCTCCATAGTCCGACACACGGCAAGCATGATCCTTCGGATCACAGGCGAGGAGTTGTACAGCTTTGGCACGGCGACCGTCCAGCCGCCGTTGGTGTAGGGCATCGCGCATGAGGGAAACTCGCGGGATTCGGGAAGGTACCTGTGCCAGAAGGCACCGAGGTAGAATTCCTCGTAGGCCGCACAGGCAAGGGCCTCGGTGGGGTTGGAATTGGGAACTGTAGTATCCTTAGCAGGGCATTTGACGTGGTACTGCTGAACCTTTCCCGATGATGTTGTATTCAGAAAGATGGTCTCGCGGCCATAGCCATCGCACTTGAACCCCTTCTGGAGACACTGGCTGCAAGAAGGGCGTTTCCGGTCACACTATCGGCTCATCATTCAATTAAAACTTGTGGTTACTCTACTGGAAACTCAGATACAGACATGGAAAGGAGAGAGCTGAGAGAACTTACTTTCCCCTTCTTCCTCCTCCTGCACGTCCCGCAACTTTTGGACCGCCCGGGAACGCCCACCATTCCTCTACCTTAGTTCCTTTGCTAGTTGCGACTCGCGTCACTCGCCCTGTTCCAGACTTCGGTAACAGGTCAACAAAATGACAGATTGTTGGCGACTTGGCGCATCGAAGGACACCTGGACACGGCGCGAATTGCTTCCCAAAGCAGAACTGGATGGGAACAAGGCAAGTGCGACCAAGGTCGGAACTCGGGAGCCGACATATACGATTCACGACCCGACCATTTGGACCATGCATGTAAGCACGGCTCTGGAGTCGTCGCGGAGGGAATGAATGGGGCTTGATGGGGCTTGGTACCTGATGTACCTGATCCTCCTGTGCTTCCCGATCGGGAGGCATTCTGCGCGGGAGCCAATCGGGACTCAATTGAGGGAGGCTCGAACGGGAGGTGTCAGCCGACTCAGCCCTACGGTTAAGCGAATGCGAAACCCCGAGGGTCGAGCGTGTTCCAGCGGAAAATAAATCGATGCGACAACTTCGTGATGAGTAATCTCTTCTGGGGAACCTGGAATGGGATGCGCGGATTGCGTATGGACGCGCTGGTAGGCCGTCGTTCTTTGATCCCGACATGCGCCGTTGGTCGCTGCAAGAGACGAGGCTGAGGAGGCCCAGGGATCGCCTAAGTCTTCCAATTATCAAGCAGCTACACTACTAGCGCAAATGACGCCGACGTGTACGTGTACAGTCCAATATGGTGGGTCAGTTCAAGCATCATGCCATCAAGGCAGAGAGGATGGTTCGGCTGGGACCCGTGGAGCGGTATGAATCGCGCCAGGACGGTCAGGTTTATCGGTAGAGGTAGTTGTCTGACATTGCGGTACAAGCTGAGATATAAGACCCGGAGAGGATGCACCCGTGAGTCCTTGACCCATCTTCTGCTCGCCAATCTGATCCGAGTCATCGGTCTCCTCATTCTCGGGTCATATCCCTAGACTCTCATTTCCAGTTGCTTCTCCTTACCAAAGCATCGAATACACCATCACCATGGTCAAGCCCACCCGCCCGCCGGCCAACGCCTTCGTTGCAGCTGCCCGCAAGGTCTACAACCCCATCGGCTTCTCCAAGGGCTACAACTTTGTCCTCTTCTTCATCTTCGCCGGAGCCCTGATGGGATTTACCCTCGCACGCCTCCAGTACCTCGACTACTACGGCATCTTCTGCGGCGATCCCGGAGTCGGCGAGTGCTACTTTTACACACGAGGAATAGCCGAGATAGGGTTGCTGATGCACCTGGCGACCATCCTTCCGGCTGGGTTCCTGGTCGTCTTCCAGTTCGTACCGGCCATCCGACACAAGTTTATCCTCATCCACAGGCTGAACGGCTATGTTATCCTCGCCCTGTCGCTAGTCGGCACAGTCGGCGCCTTCATGTCCATGAGAAACGCCTTCGGGGGCGGGCTCGACACGCAGCTGGGCCTTGGCCTCATGGGAATCATGTTCGTTGTGAGCTTGGCGTTGGGATACATCAACATCAAGAGGCTCCAGCTGGAACAGCACCGGGCCTGGATGCTCAGGGGGTGGTTCTACGTACGTCCCTTTTGCCTGCTGTGTGTATTAGTCCTCTGGTATCTTGTTACTAACATATCCAGGCCTCTTCGATCATCACCCTCCGGATCATCATGATCATCATGGCCACCATCATCAGCGAGACGGGCGGGTACTGGGCCGTCCGCCAGTGCGCCCAGGTGAACTACACGCTCGGGGAGGCCAGCACGCGAGAATTGTATCCTGACTGCGAGGCATTTTACTCTGGCGAGGACCCGTACAAGCCCACTTTGATCAAGGCAACCATGAATTCTAGCGCCATGACAGCCGGCGCGACGTTGGGTCTTTCGTTCGGCCCGGCCACGTGGTTAGCATTGTTTCTTCATGCGGTTGGCGTTGAGGTATACGTAAGTTTTCTTTTCCGAATCTTGTGGAACCTGACGGCGTTTTGCTAACGGCTCCTAAGCTCCGTCTTACACCCTTTGAGCACGACAGGCTCCGTAACGTGTCGTACCAGCGGCAGGTCGAGGCCGGCATGAGAAACCCAGGGAGGGCCGGGCTGACTGCAGACCGGCTGGGCGACGCAATTCTGTGGAAGCCGAACAGTGACTCTACACGGAATGCAGTCCCGCTAAAGTCCGTTGCGTCTCAACAACATACGAGCAACAGCGAGTAATCAGAGACGTTAAACCGTCCGATGACTTCAACACTTGCTCTCACTTGAAATTGAAATCGCTTTCGTCCCGACTTGTACTTCCAAGTTGAAAATGGCAATGTATCTGTTATTAGACAAAACAATCAGTCAGGTATGAGGCTCTAAAAGTATGTGCGGTGCACATCTAGACAACAAGATTCAAGAACGGTTTTCCGGCTCACTCCAGCTCTGCATCCACCTGACCTTGTAGCCCTCTGCGCCGAGATAATTCGCCTGACTCCTCCGCTGTTGTAGTAGAACAAACGAGCAACGCCCAACGCGCCGAAAAAGCAGATGCATCCCAGGTACCGTATCCACAATCCTTGTCCAATGCCAAATTGTCCGCGATGCAAGTGCCCTTGGTATGATAGATGCAAAAGGAAAGATGTAGCCGATACGAAGTTTGATGGTGATAATCTGGGGACCGGCATCGACCCAAGAAGAACAAGTGGTATTCTAACTCCCGCAAGTACAAGCCTGTCGGTCGTTCATCCAGACCTCGTCACCCCCTTTCTCTTCGCACGTGGGGGCAAGGCCAACGCTGAGCAAGCAATCTGGTCGCCGCCGAATCCCGCTCTGAGGTCTTCCTGGTTGGAGTATGGGAGACGGCCTGTCCCCCACATCGGCGTTTCTGCCGGTGTCGGCGGCAGAACATGGCCTGACAAGGCCTCGCCCGAGCTTGCGGAGCGCTTGTGATGCTCCCCATTCCTGGGTTGCGGCGCAAGCGCTGCGTGTCTCCCGGCACGTTGCATGTCGTTGAGTGCGTCGCCAATGAGAGCTGCATCCCACAGCGGCAGAATCCGGTATCCCAGGCTCTCCATAATGCACCTTTCCGTGGCATTAATCTGGTCGCACGTCCACATGTCCTTCCCCCACGCTGAGCGGTAGTACTGCGTGCGTTCCTGGCAATCCTCTAGAAACTTGGCTGAAATGATGAGCGCCGCCAGGACAATGACTTCTGGGTTGACCGAGTCGATGTGCAGCAGCTGGGTAGTGCACACGGGGCTCGCAGGGAGCGTATGGCGCTTCGACTGCTCGTTAGCAGCCTCGCGTTGCGCCAGGGGGCAAACTAGTCGCCAATTCAGCGAGAACTTGGAGCTGAGCGAGTCCATGATACACACGGCAAGGGCAATGGCATCCATGGGCAGACCGGAGCGGACAAGCATCTCATGAACGAGCGAAACAGACGGCACTGCTAGTGAAGCCGCGGGTGGGATTAGATTGACCAAATGGACCGCGGGGCCTGTGAAGAAGCGCGTGTTAGCGAAACCAAAGGCGTCATAAATGATGCAAGGGCGGGCTCCAAACTAACCTAACAAGGCTGAATCGAGAAGCCCTCCATCTTCCAGGGAGGACCTGGGACTCTGAGTGGCCAGCGAGTCGCGTGATGAGGGAGGAGGCGTGGGAAGGTTCGATAGCGGCTTGTATGTGCGTGAAAAATACTCCTCATCCAAGTCGAACTCGTCGTCCCAGTAATCTGGAGAATGTGTTGCTGGCATTGTTGCGTGTTCTGTTGCGGCGATCCGGTTCATGGAGTAATGACCCTGGGCCGTCGGTTGCCAGTACGTCCAACAAGCAACAGTTCCGAGGTGTAGGCGGGAGAGCCGCTCATATCGGCAGGACGGGGGTCGGCAGTCCTTGTTGGCAGTCTCTTCGCAAACGGTTCGCGGGGTGCCGGGTGGAATAATATGGGTCCAGACCAGGGAAGGGCCGAACACGAGCTTTCGAGTAACACGCAAGCCTGCGCCGAAGCGGAGGAAGCTGAAAGCGTCACGGTGCGGAAAGGGCGGTAGCTGTGGACTATTTGAACAGCGGAGAGAATGAAGATCGAAGCATCAGTCAATGGAGGTTGTGCTCCTTCATAAAGAGTACCTGAACAAAAGGAGGCCGGGGGGTAAGGTAAGGTGGTGGAGACCGAGTACGAGACGCTCAGCGATGGCGCTCGTCAGATATTCGAGCGATGTGGGTCGAAGAAACGCCAAGCCACTGGGAAACAACCTGGGCTGGGGCCACCTCAGATCAGATGGATTTGCGGTGTCGATAGTCTCGACTCGAATGTGTGCATGTGTGTATGTACGAAGTACCGCCGGTACAGTGCTGAACTCCTTTGTCCACGTTGACTCGTCCTCTGCGGCCGATGCTGGCACCAATGCCTTCCGCTTTGGGTGTGAATCTGATTGAAGAGACAGAAGAGGGCATCCCAGGTGAAGAAAGAAAGACAAAGTGCTGGCATTATAAGTGTCTACCATGGCCGGCATCTCTCGCAATGCACCATCCATAACACGCCCGCAGCCGCGGGGACAACCCTGCCATTTTGGGCATCCAGCTGTTGGCCGCAGCAGTGGATGTGCTGGGGCTTCATCGTTGGGCGAAGGAGACCGGGCTGCCTTAGCTCGATCAGTCAGAAAATCCTGCATAGAAATTTCATACATACCTCAGCTGGCGCAACCTCCGTATCAAGTCTCGCGTGAATTAGACGCGAGAATGACATTACCGGCTGCGGCAGTGGAGTGTTGGAGTTGGCTAAACCGCTGTGCTGACGACTGCGCAATCTGGATGAAGAGAATAACCCTGTGGGGCTGTCCCTGTGCTGCACTGCTGCTCGGAACATTAGCGCATCTACGGAATACAATACATACACACTACAGTACAGCACCCGACACTCTACGCAGGGCGCACGGACGGCACCAGGTACTGTACTGTACTGTACATACATCCTTAGGAGTTGGGTCCAGCATCCAGGTGGGGAAAACACTCTGCAAATCGGCCTGGAGACTCAAGGCAGAATTTATCAGTCACTCTGACCTGATCTTTCTCCTTACCTGATTCAATTGGAAATAGAAAACCAAAACAAGAGCTGATACCCGATTTCAGAGAGGGGCAGAACAGCGGTCAAACATGTTCCTTCAACGGGGAACGGTTGCGGAGTCTGGGCGGAAAGGCAAGCAGCCAGGCAGCCCTGCGCTAACAGAGACATGCCAGTTAAAGTTAGGCTAGGCTGGCTGTAAAAAGCCCCTGACCGAGGCTCTCTATCCAGCACCGTGAGCACTGAGCACGCATGTTTTCTCAATCTTCATTGCATGTTCACAAATCCACACATGACAGAATGAGAGACCATTCCGATGCGGATCAAAATCTGGAAGCATCCCCAACAACGGCGGGCGTTTCCAGGCCAGATCCAGGTCCGTGACACCCGCTGGAGTCAACCTCCCTTCTCTGCAGCTCAACAGACCAAGTACGGTATCCTAGGGAAGTTGTCCGATCCTGTTAAAGCACCTTCGAACTCATCCGACCTGCGTCACGTAACATCACCCTTAGGCACATCCAGCCCAGTCTCGACCGCCAAACGAGGAATTGCTTCCCGCTAACAACCCGGGTTAACGGGATGCATACAGAGTACAACCTGCACAACTTGAACCACTGCTCGGTTGCTCGGGACTTGCCCGGCTAAAACCTGAGGTGCTCTCCGAAAGGAATACAAGGAATCCGGCAGACAGCATGCGAGACTGGGAGCCGAGATCACGTCAATCGCGGCTCGACATTACTTGCAGCACATTGTGCTAGTCTGACAAGCTTTCTTTGTGGGGTGCATACTGCCGAACGGCCGCACGGCCGCAGCCTAAGATAGAACTGGTTCAATACACTCAGCAGGGCTGAAGGTCGGGAACTTGAAGCAAGAGAAACAAGAGAGACCAGCACCGTCGTTTGGTGCCGTAACTTTGTTCCGATGCTCGGCTGCGGCCCCGCAGCGCGGCACCGGGATAGAGCGCCCAATCCCGCGGGAGCGAGCCGGGACTTCGAATGGCTGAGCTGTTCGTCCATTGTTCTCGCACTGCAAGCTTGGCTTGTGGCTTGTGGCAGTGTCCGCTACACTTGCCAAAACAATGGCTGGTCTGCTTTACTAGGGGCGGAATGCTGCTATTAGGTAGAAAAGGTTAAAACTCTTTTCTAACCGGTAAGGTCTTCGCTGTTCATCCCGTCCTCTCGCGGCGAGACAACTCCCAGCCGATCATCTGAAGCTGCCATTGCTAGGGATCGCGACTCACTTAACCATGAGTCCTGCAATTAGACCCTAACCCTGCTTCCCCCTTTACCCCTTTTCTGTGACACCCAGAGTCCCAGACCCAAGCACTTCTATACAGTGTCTCTCATCATGCACTATGCTTATAGATCATGTAATACCCAGCACACCATAGTCAGCTATACAGAATTCATTCCTTGAGAACGCAGGAACTCTGGGCACGCATTGTTTATGGCGTCGCTAAAGAAATCATCCGCTAAAATCCCGTCGACCTTCTCCATAACTACACCTGATCCTCCCACACGGTCGACGGCGCAAAGTCGTGAGACCGACCCCTAGCCGCAAAAGTGGCTTCCGGTCAGGACGGGAGGCTTTGGCATCGCCTGATGCCTCGCTCGTGGGCATTGCCACCAACGTCACCTCGGCTCTGCTGAACCTTTCAGCATCGTTGCAGACGTATTTGGACTCGACTGCCAACCGTCTCGCGGGCGCTACCGAATACCTCGCTATTTAATATTACACTAGATAGCACTTATAGTATTGTCTATTGTAGCTTCCAGGAGTAGAGAGTCCAAGATCTTCTCAAGGAATATAGTCACATGAAGAAGTGAGCAGCGGTCACAGGGGCAATCCAAGGCGAAAAGGGCAAACGCCCAAGAGGCGCAGAGCAATTCGCGCTAATAAGTACATGGCAAGATGTGCTGCATCTCGAGCAGAGGATGTTTTTACATAGTTGAAGTCGCGGCGGGCCATATTCGTGAAGAGCATGGGCATTTGCGATCTGAAATTCAACGGGGAGGGGGGGGAGGGTGGGGTTTATACTGGCGCGAAGCAGTAAGGCCGGGCTGGACTTTCCTCAATATGTGGGCATTGAGGATGGATAGCAGCAAGAGCGAGACGCTAGCCACCGTCTCGGCACCAGGGAGGCTGGCCTTTGGTTCCTTAGAACTGAATACCGTATGGCCACCATATTCTTGCGTCGTGTGACTACCCGTAAAACATTAGCTCATCCAGTTTGAAAGTCCTATCTGAGCAAAAAGAGAAATACAGTCCTACAAACCAAATAATATGCTCGTAAGCTTCTTCAGGCACGGAGATCGAGTAGGCGAACTGGAAGACTTGGAGAGCAGCACCAATGGGGATCACTCGAAAAGCTCAGGTAAGGGATGTATGTCCATATTTATCCGTCGCGCACACCTGGAGTATTGTAGACCCTGCCGGCACTTACCTCCTTGCCGCGGCGATCCGACGCCCAACGTCAGCAGTACACGGCCTGGTCCCGGAAAGCCACAAGAAGAAACACGACCCCTTCCCCCCCCTTTACCTCCCGTCCTCCTCCCATCACCTTCCAAGTTCCAACCCACGATGTATAGCACATTTGGGCAGACTACCCACGGCAAGTCTAGTGGTAGTACGGAGTAGAAGGCGTAATATCAGACCCAGGTGAATACTACTGGATACCATGGCATTCATCACAGTCACAGCTGGCAGTACTGTCAAGGAAAACCAATCCTGTTGATTATCCACCATCTACCACTCCAATACCGCAGCCACATACATAATCCTCAACTTCAAGTCATTCATTCCGTTCTGCTCTCTTTCCGCTTCCCACAAAAGAAAAGAAAAGAAGAGTTCCTCGTCTACTGCCCAGCCAACACCGCTGCATAGAGAGAAAGCACACACTGAAGCTAAGAAACCGAGGAAAATACTAGTCTCGAGATCAGTAAAGAAAAGAAGAACATACCAAGAAGCGGTGCGTGCGGTAGTAGAAACAGAGATGGATATGTGTACGATTATCTCTAGCTTCCCCCGCTGACCGCCCGGTCTCACCATCTTAGAAAAGGAGATTGGGCTTGACAAGATGCCGCTTCGAGATCCGGCACATTGCTCAAGATCTAATTTCAACCATCCCCATCCCCATAGAAAAGAGAAACCAGCCAGTCATCGCACTAGCTCCTTGTCCCCATCACGCCACTTCCATAATTATCTTGTCTTGGTCGGTGCGGTGGTTGGGATGCGACGGGATGGTGCGACTTTTCTTGCTCATTCCTTGGCGACGAGGACTTAAACACCATGAAAACCAGAATTAGCCATCCGATCTCATCCGAGTAAGCTGCCGGATGGCTGTGGATGAAGCGCAAACAGCATCAGGCGGAATCTGTCGAGCGTCGTTTGATGGGGACTCCCTAGTCGAGGGAGACGCGCCCCTCCTGGGCCTCCTGTTCGGCCGCGGTGACGACATTCGAAGTGTCGCCGCTGTTTCCAGCGGCGTTGTTCGACGTGTCGACACCGGGGTTCGAAGCAACGAGGTTGGGGTCAAAGGAGACCGGGGCTGGGGTCTCGTGTGAATACACACGTTTTGCCGAGAGAGCGGATGTATGGATGTCTTTGGGCCTGTAGAGAAGATGCAGGCAAGGAAATCATTACTCACCTTGGGATGCTACCGACTGGACCTGGGTGACAACGTTGGGAGCGATGAACTGCTGGAGGTCGAGCACACCAACGTTGTTGAGGAGGCCGAGGTTGAGGAACTGCAGGTTGACAGCGCCGAGATCGAAGCCGCTGAGGACACCGAGCTGGTGGAATTGCAGAAGGGTGTGCAGCGATTGAAGCTGGAGAAGGGCCTGGATGTCAAAGACCTGAGACTGGAACAGACCCTGGAACTGCAGGATGTTGAAGTTGTTGATATCGGCCAGGTTGCCCAAGAGCCCGAGCTGCAGGGCGTTGATGTTGAGCAGGTAGTTCAGGTTGACCTGCTTGAAGTTGTTGAAGTTATTGAACTGGTTGATATCAAAGGCGAAGGAACGCTTGTCGACCTCAGTAGTGGCAGTCGGGGCAGCGGTGGCCAGAGTGGCCAGGGCAGAGACGATAAGAGTAACAGGCTTCATTTTGCTGGGTATCTGGAGTGAATGACTCGTGTGGAAGACAAGGATTAAACGATTAGAGTTAAGAGCACAGCTGCCAGCTGGTAAGCAACTGTTTGGTCAAACCCCCTTGCTCATGGACATACCTCAAGAATGTTCAGTAACTGAAGGAGTGGAAGCGAACAACGAGCACAGCTGGAAAATGTCGAATGTCAACTTCGAATCCTGTGCGTTTGCTTGTTCAACTCCCATTCGGGAGATGTAGGACTCACCTCTGAAGAATGAATGACTGAAGAAGATGGTGGACCGGGCCTTGGAAGCTGGAGATGTGGGATGAGGAAACAAAAGGGCCAGAACAACCGGATGGCGACTCGTCTTATATCCAGACGAGAGGAGCCAAACTCTGCAAACAACTCACAAGATGACAGAAGCCGGAGCCGCGCGCCAAGCATTTCAAGGAGGCACCGTATATTCGGAAGGGAGGCAAGCGGTGATCCGGTACGTGTCAGGAGTCGGGCGTTAAGCGTCACTTGGACTGGGACAGACAGGTAAGACGACATGGACAAGGGATGAGTGTCTAGACCCTAGTGGGGGGTCCAGGAACAGTTAGGAGAGTGAGTAAACCGCCGAGACGATGATGTGCCCTCCTGGAGCGTAGGCTGCGTGGTTGGGAGGCACTCTGGACCTTCCGCGACGTCATGCACGGAACCTTCTATGGCCGAGCTCACTTGAGGGCGATGCCAAGAGAAACATCAAGGTTAAGATGGCGGGTGACCCAGTTCAGCCCTGAGCAGTGGGCCGACTCTTCGGTTGGGACATCAGTTGAGCCTGGGTACTCTGTAGCAGGGGGTTGGGCGGTCAGGAGGGGGATACCCGGGTCCGAGCCATTTCTGCAGTATGTTCCGAGTACCGTACAATGTTTAACATCTCGGCTGAATCAACACTCAAGATGTGTCTTCCCTGATCGACGTCGAGGATGAGCAGTTTGTTTCGCAGTGTTTCGAGAGAGCAAAGCGTCTATAGAAAACTAGAGTGGCAGATTTCGGGAAAGTTAGGCGACTAAGAGGCGGAAACAGAGAAACAGACACAGGAAAAGCGAGGGACTCGGATGAGAGCACTTCCCGTTCGTGTCTCGCGTAGAAGGAGCGTTTAGAAGCTGCGTGGCAAGCAGCCTGGGCAAGCAAGCTGGCTTTCGGAAGGAAGCAACGTCTAAGGAGTCATCAACTCCGGGCTCTCCTGCCGTTTCCTATGAGGGAGAGCAAAATACAGCTTTCAGGGAAGCAATGTGCAACTTACACTGACCTTCAGCGTAAGGTACCACCAACCATCACGGTCCACACACATACTACGTAGTAGTCTAGTACGTAGGCAGTTCGTGTTAAGCTTACTTTCCGTATCCTGCCATCAGATTGACGAGACCAATAAGAGTTTGCGGAACATGACCGTTGAAGTCTGGGACTCTGGGGTAGTCTGGCTAAAATCTACCGAACAGGGCCGGGGTTACAAGAGGCTGAAAGACCGGACGTTGGACGGGACCCTGGGGACCCACTATGCAGCCTGGGACCGTGCCGAACGGGACTCCAGACGGCCAAGAGCTGCCAAGACAGTTTTGCCGATTCTGATTGGGTATCTCAACGGTTGGAGCCGTGCGACTGCAACACTCAAGCCCGAGCGCTCATGCCGGGCTGTGATCCGCACTTGCATCACGTCGCAGAAGTGGATGTGAAGCACTTCAGTCCATGCATCAAGCACGCACTGTCATCTGAAGCAGAGGAATTTCACCTGATTGATACGGCTTGGCAGCAGCCGGAACTGCTCTGCTTCCGAACGAAGTTGGGGGTCGACGATGAAGTCATTGTGAGCAGTGAGCACCGAGTCGGCCATCAGCCTGCTCTTGCCTGCCTTAGGTAAGTTGCCTTATGGCCAACCACGATTCAGATCACTTTGAGAACATCACCACGCTTTAGGGTTGCTACGCTCCCTCAGCAACATACGTAGTGTGTCAATCCAAAAATAGCCGCCTCATGATCAGTTGCAGTTTCATCCCATCCCATATTCCTCGAATTCTTGTGCAGCAACAGTAGTGTAAGGTAAAAAGAAGAATAGCTACAAAAAGAGCCCCTATGCAAGTGTGAAACAAACAAGAATAGAAAGGCAGAAAAAGCGGCACCAGCACTTGGTAACCACCATAATAAAGACTCAAGGCCACGAATGTACAGAGCAGGGCAGGGTATCCCGACAACGACCAGGTTGCCAGCGTGCCTTTTGCCCAGTGTTGCCTTGTTGCCATCCGTCTTTCCCGTCCTCTATGTATACGGAACGTGACTGAAATTGGCAAAGCCATAACCCCGTACCCGTTATAGCCCTGCGAAACCCCGTAACCTCTGCTATAGTATGTAGCAAGGCTGAACTTCCCCAGACGTATCCGTACCCCTGCCTCCCTTCTAGCGTGTGAGGTCAGAGAGGTTCTCCACGTCACCGGCACCGGCCGCTGCTGCAGAAGTTGCAGCAGCCGCGGGAACCGCAGCAGCAGGAGCAGCAGCCACGGCAGAAGCGGCGGCGGCGGGAACAGCAGACGTGGAGGCAGCGGATGCGGCACTGGCACCGGCAGCACCAGCAGCAGGGGCGACAGAGACAGCAGCAGAAGAAGCAGTGGAACTAGCCGAAGCAACGCTTGCAGCTGAGGTCACAGATGTGGTAGCAGCCGCGGCAACGGTAACAGACGAGGCTACCGGGGCGTCAGGATCTGCCGTGGCAATGGTGAAGGCTATTTCCTCTGTTGTTGCTGCCGCTGCCGCCGCCGTTGTCGTCGACGTGGCAATGGTAAACGTGTTCTCCTCGGCCGCGCCCAGTGCGATCCCTGACTCCGGGCATTGTCGCTTGATCTTCTGGCCACGCCGCAGCTTGGTCCGCTTCATGGTCTTTCTGGCCTCGGCTATCTCCCGCTTGAAGACGCCTGGGTTGGTATCGTCAGCTAGGAATCGCCATTGCGAAGATTGAGAGTACTCACCCAGATTGAAACCCCCAAGGGCGAGGCCTTTGCTGAACAGCGACTGAATGCCTCCGAGGTTCAAGAACCCAAGCTGCTCTAACTGTTCCAGCTGGGCGAGCTGGAAGAAGAGGTCGACATCGTTGTTGAACCCAAAGCTTAGGATTTTGTTCAGGTCCAACGCGTTACCCAGGCAGAGGTTGTTGAGCATAGCCAGGATCGCTTCAGCAATAGCGTCCTGGTCGCCCAGATCAATGTTGCCGAGATTCAGACCGCCGGCCTCGAGCTCGTTCAGGTTCAGGTCTCCAAGGTTAAAGTCTGCCAAATTGAATTCGCCATTGCCATTGAACTGGATGTTCGAGACATCACTGCTGTTAGCAGCAGCAGAGGTGTTGAAGCCAGCCTGGGCCGAAGCCAGCGTAGCAGAAAGCAGCAAGGGGAGAGCAGCCTTCATCGCGAATTAATGTGCGACCCGCAACCAAAATTAGATCTTAGTAAAAGAATGAGTGTAAAGAGCGCAGCTTCAAAACGTCAGCAAGATTCTCGCAGAACTTGGGGGTATTGCTCTTACTTACCTCTTGACTCCAAGATAACTTACAACGAGGGAACGAATCGAAGAAGGCTGGCTTCAGTCAGGTAGGAGAGAAAACAAAGACTCCAAACATCCTCTGCCAACCCCCAACCGGGGTTAATTAGGTTGATATACACCATCTTCCATCTCGCTTCCATATCCAAGTGCGGTGCGGATGTGTGCGCTGAACTTGAAAATTGCCATGTCGATGAAACAGGCGACGACATATGCCGACAGGATGAACCATTCCCATGGTTATCCCACACACACCACCGTGCCGCTAACCTTATCCGTGGCACACCCTCCTCTTCAAAAGTTGAACGTACCTGCAAATGCCAAACAGGCTGCCGGGTATGTCGTGGCCGAAGGGTGTGGCGTCCTGGAATTTGAGTGGTGTGGCCAAGGACCCAGCCGACGGGCCAAGAAACGTTGAATATGCTTTAACACAACCTCCCCTTCCGTCTTCGATCGACTGCTTCATGTGGCCGGATCCGAGCTGATGTAATGCCCTTCGAGAGATAACACCGCTTGCAATCTTGTTTTGTGAAGTGACCGCTGTCTTAATGAGAGATACTGGGAAAAGCGGAGAAAGAAGTAGTTTTAATGACGTCGAGGGTCTGCTTCCACGACGGGTCTCGGGGGCATCCGTAAAGTCGAGGTGAATGTAGAGCCTGACGATACTATTGTCGTTCGGGTAAGCTCGCCCGTATTAATGACGATCTCGGCCGTCGGTTCGAGCGGTAGAGATGATTATTGGAAGTTCTGATCATGGTCAATGCCTTTACTTGCTCAATGTTCGTCTCTGTTATCGAGCAGATGGAGAGGCCGCGGATACATTGGGATCTGTGGCGTTGTTTGGTCGATGGTGGACGTGACTCTGCATCCGGGACGATTCGGTATTGCAGGGTTTGTTGACGATCTTCAGGTTGAACATGAGATTTGTGCTCTCGTTGTTGATCCCGAGAATTGCTGGGTGCTGAAGACATAGATGCGCACAGCCATACACCGGTAGCATATATGGATATCAGGGTACCTCTCCATACATACCTCGTTGCGATAGCCCAATTGTAGCCTAAATTGCTCCTTTCGTAATTCGACACTCAGTGGGCGGTGGTGTATGTGATTTTATCAGGCGTGTCGCCCAACTGCGGTGGGAAACTACTTTCATTCTTTGATCTGAGACACCCAACTATATATAGGTATATCTACAGCGTTACATGTTCGCCGCCGTCGTCTCGGTGTCGATGTCGATATCGCCTTGCCTTCGCCCATCTCTTTGATAATGATACACTTTTTCTTTCTCAACCAGTCCAATATCACCTATCCGGCCGTGTTTTCCCTTCACCTGTCTCCCGCGTGCCATTGAACCCAAGCCATTCCCCCAGCATCCCGCCGGGCTTAGGCACAGGGCACTCCCGCCTTTTGGATGCCGCATTCGCCCTTGTCAAGCCCTCCCCATTCTCATTCCCAATTCCATCCACCCTGCCAGCTTGCCCTTCTTCTCCTTGGCCGAACTGAACAATCCCAACACCAGCCCCCTGATCCTCACCGTCCAATCGCCTTTTCCTTTTCCTCTTCACACAAGCAGCTGCATCCGCCGGCATCTCGCCGTCGGCATATGCCCTCCGCGGCGCGGGGCAGGGTAAGACGTGGGGCAGGGCGACGACGAAGAAGCTGGCGAGCACGGTGGTCGCAAACAGGGACGAGGTCATGCGGGACCTGGGGTGGAGATGGGGCGGCGGCATGGTTTATATGGACCTCAGTGGGATGGTGTATGTGTATGCACGAAGTATGTATGTGTATGGATCAGGAGGGATCCAAAACGGAGGGCCATCCAGATGGAGAGAAGAGCTGCGACAATTCATTGTTATTCTCATGCTCCCAAAACCTGTTGGGACAATCGCAATCGTAGCGTACCGATGCCAATGGCCAGCCTAGGGACGTGTATGCATGCGGCTGACCATGATGCTCTGCTTGGCCTCGAGGAGTCAATTGGGTTGTTTGTGAAGCTGTGTTGAAGCTGTCGCGAGAGCTTGGAAATTCCCCAGGAATGGTTGGTCGAGTGGAATCAGTGGATCCATCCTGATTCCTGAAGCTTGGGGGCCATAGGGTTGGGGTTAGAGCAGGTCAATGCAGCACTTGGCATTGAGCATCAACACATCAGTCTCTGTCCTGTCCAACGCAACTCATCAAAGTGGCTCGAATGGCCCAATCAACACCACTCTACCTTGAGGGCTTCCAAACGTTCAAACCAACCTCAATCTCCCAGTCAACTAGTTGCCTACGTGGAATCTAACTACTTGTACTCAATCGCTTCCTACTTAGGAACCCGATTCATTTGCTGCTCGTATCTACTACTATGCAAGTGTTAGGTCGGGCGTGGACGTGGGATCAGTTTGCTCGAACAGTCGCTTACTCGTAAGGGAAATGGCGTCAAGCTTCGCTAGGCAAAGGTCAGGGCGGGTCGACAGGGACGGCGACGGGACGGCAACAGCAATGGGGTCGGGTGGCATGCAGAGGCCACAACGACGGGACCGGGCGATGGGCGAACGGGGACTGGTGGAAAAGGGGAACGGGCGACAGCCGAAGGGCGACGGCGGGCGGAAAAGGGGCGGGGTAGTTTTGGGGTGCAATGGGGGATAAAAAACAGAGGACGGCGAGATGGGAGACGGTAGACGGGGGGTGTTGTCCATCGTTGTCGTCCGTCGCTGTCGCCCGTTGCCGTCGCTGTTGCCGGTGCCCCTATCGCCCGTCGCCCGTTCCCAGTCTCGCACAACGACAGCGGTGGCGACAGCGAGACGTAGAAGCTGTGGTTGGCTCGCAGCTAACTTGTCGATCTGGTTGCTGATTAAGTAGCTGGCACGATTTGCTGTAGGTAAAGTCGTTGGATTGACTGGATTCACGTTTCCTGGTCCTTTTCGCGGATTCCCCCTACTTTGCACAACGGATATCGAGATGGTGGTTGTAGGGGTTAGGCCGATGTGGCTCCGAGGCCAACTCGACAGTTCGAATCTGCAGTGATTGGAAATACGGGACGGCAAGAGTAAGTAGTGCTTTGTATGTACTGAGATGGAAACTGAGCACCAAATGAATTAGGTATTGATTGCCCGAAGAGAATACGGTCTATATCTATAGATGCAACCAAACCAATACAGTATAGTACACGATATGTACAAACAATTCCAAAACAAATGAACTGAACATATGCCGGTACAAAACACAGAACCCCCAAAACGTATACATACATACATATACCCATACAAAGATGGCATATGGCATAGCCATACACACATCACACAGATGTCATTATCATCAATCATAACCCAGCGGCGGCGAGCCGTTACAGTCTACGATCATCCTTTTGTCTAGCTAAGCAAGAAACGGGATTCCACTCTGAGCATGCATGAGGGTGAAAGGAAAGGAGAAAATAAGAAGGTCACTGGCTATCAGACTTTTCTTTCCCGTCCCTGTATATATAAATAAGCAAAGCAGGCAAAACAACACGTAACAGTTCGTTCACTAGTCTCTCAGGACATGACCAGCGCGAGCAGAGCCATGCGGCAATAGAGACCATACCGCATCTGCATTGAACAAGGTCAGCAAATTCCCTCAGGGATGGTATCACAGCGGCAAAAACTCACCTGTCTAAAGTACGCCGCCCGCTGGTCAAAGTCCACCTCCTCCGCGACCTCCTCGTTTCTCGGCAGCGGGTGCATCACAACAACATTGCTCTTGGCGTGCTTCAGCGTATTGTAGTCGACGCGATACGAGTTCTTGACGCTCTCGTAGTCGGCCAGGTTCGAGAACCGCTCCTTCTGCACGCGGGTGCAGTATAGGACGTCGGTGCGAGCCAAGATCTCGGGCGTGAGCGTTTCCGACTCGCAGAGCAGCTGCCCGGCGTCCACAAGGTGCTGGCGGATGGCTGGCGGCAGGGCAAGCGCCTGCGGCGACACGAGCTGCACCTTCACCTGGTAGTGCCGGAGAAGGTAGACCAGCGAGTGGACCGGTCGACCGTAGAGCAGATCGCCCACAAAGGTGATGGTGTGGCCTTGCATGGTGCCCAATTCCTCCCGGATGGTGAACAGGTCGAGGAACGCTTGCGTTGGGTGTTCTTTGCTTCCATTGCCGCCGTTGATAACAGGGACAGGGCTGAACTTCCTGGCTATATCAACCGACTTTTCGTCGGGGTGGCGGAGGACGACCGCGTCTCCGTAACAGGCGAGGGTCCGTAGCGTGTCCTGCAGCGTCTCGCCCTTCTGGACCGACGACGTTGATGTGGTGACGGCAATCGTCCTGCCACCCAGGCGCTGCATCGCCGCATCAAACGACGCCGAAGTCCGGGTTGAGGGCTCGTAGAACAAAGTGCACAAAAGGCGGCCACGGAGGATATCTAGGACGCCTTCTCGCTGGACACCGAGACGCATCTCCTGAGCGATATTGAAGAGAAGGTGCAAGTCGGCACGCGTGTACTGTGTCACGGATAAGACGTGAGACTTCCTGAAGGATGACGGCGCGGACAACATTTCCTGAAGTGGCGAAACTGTAGGCTGCGCCATCAGGGGAGGGACAAGGTCATCCATAAGAGGCACCCTAGGCGGAGGTAGGACAGACTGCGCGTTATCTGTGACTTTAGACCTGCCGTACAACGGCCGGCCCAGCTGGCCCTGGCGCTTCCCATCGGTAGCATCGGTGGTTGGAGAGAGGGGATGGTGCATGGGCCTCACTGAAGGCGATAAAACTGCGGCCGTCGAAGGCATCGCCCCGTGCGTGGACATGTCGGTTCCCCTGGCCGGGACCGGCAGGATGGAGCCGTCGAGGCAGACGATCTGGTCCTGGAAGGTGACGCGCTGAACTGCGGCTTTCACAACTCTGCCCGCAAAAGGGGACCAAGAGCTAGTGGCTTCCACAGTGTAGGGGCGGTCAATCTCAACTTCCACACTCGTACCGACTTGATCATGCAACTCGAAAATCTCACGGGGGTTGTCATGGAGCCGCGTCCTGATGTCGTCAACGGTAAGCTTGCCTTCGGTGACCGACGTCAAAAGAAGGGGGAGAGCGTCGGCAATCCCAACCGCTATTTCTGTTGGCTTCTTCAAGAAATGGGCGAGCTGGTACGGCAGACTGCCGATAGAGAAGACATCAATGGTCCGCATATGCTCCCACAGAGCAGCTTGATCCTCGACCGTAGGCAAAAGATGGCAACCAGGATAGTCGGCCTGCGACAGATAAAGAGAGTAGATGGACACATCGCATGTAACCTTGAGTCCCTTCTCCTTGCCGAGGGCAATGAGCTTGATGTCATCCTTGGTCGTCACCGCAGTCACGTGAATACGGCGGTTGTGCAAGCTCGCAAGGAGAAGAATTGAGGCCAGGTCGGTTGTCCTGGCGTCTGTGATGATAGGCTTGTGCGTCGGCCAGGCGTCAAAGTGCGCCTCCACCGTCGCAACCTTGCTGATGTTGTCCGACAGATGGTTGAACGGGATGAACAGTGAACCGACTTCGCCCGCGGCATGGCTGATCTGGCTGGCGTTGTCCGAGGTTGCGGCAATCGACAAATTGAAGTCGCAGTACCCGCCGCGCTTGCCGTTCTGTTGGGCAATCTTCAGTGACTTCACATCCGAAATGGCGCCGTCCTTGCCAACCGGCATGATGCGGATCATGCTGAAACCGGCCGCAATCGAAGCCTTGGTCACCTCTTGGAGATCAGAGCTGTCCCTAGAAACCAAGCCTGGCACAAACGCTGCGATGTTGATCAGCCCAGGCAGCTGAATGGTGCGGTGGCTCGTCTGGTAATCGCGAATGCTGACGTTGAGCTCCAAATGCCTGGCGAGAGCCTCCACGAGAATCTTGGCATTCTTGACGTTGGTGACAAGCGGGATTTGATAGTCAACTGCCATACGACGGGTCTGGTATCCCTTGCTCATGTAATTGGCAGGACGCCTGTACCTGTTGTTGGATGGCAGATTGATATATAAGTCAATCATGTTCTTGGCGAGATGCTGTGTGAGCGAGTATTCGGACTTCTGGCTGTCCTCTTCTTTGCCGAGGACCTCGAGATACTGCACCTGCACCCCGTGGCTGCCCAGGAAGTCTGCGGTTCCCGCTGTGGCGAAGAGCTTGTAGCCCAGTTCTTGCAGTTTCTTGATCGAGGGAAGTAGCTCCTCCTTATCTTTGTAGGATCCAATCGAGAGCAGGATGTTGTTTTTGGGAATCTTGAATCCCGTAGAAATCAGAGCCTTCAGGTATGCTTCATACTTGTCGGCTCCGAACGAAGCGACTTCTCCAGTTGAAGCCATCTCGACACCAAGGACAGGATCAGCGCCGGACAAGCGCGAGAAACTGAACTGCGGAACCTTGACGCCGACGCAGTCCGCAGGCCGCTCGATCTTGGGATATTCTTCGAACGGAATGCCCACAATCGCCTTAGTAGCCATCTCAATAAGGTCGACCCCCATGACCTTTGAAACAAACGGGAACGAGCGAGAGGCTCTAACGTTGCACTCAATAACCTTGATGTCGTTATTCTTGGCGATGAACTGAATGTTGAAGGGACCCGTGACGTTGAGGGCATCTCCTATCTTGCGGGTGGCCTCCTCAATGCGCTTGATGGTTGTTTTTTCAAGATCCTGAGGTGGAAGGATGAGTGTGGCATCTCCGGAATGGACACCGGCATTCTCCACATGTTCGGAGATGAAGTGGCACACGACTTTGCCGTCCTTGGCTACAGCATCCATCTCAATCTCCTTGGCGTTCTCAATGTACTTGGTGATGACGACGGGATGCTCTGGTGAGACGTCGGCGGCTTGTCTCAAGTAGTTCTCCAAATCGCCCTCCGAGTAGACCGTGTTCATCGCCGCCCCTGAAAGGACGTATGATGGGCGCACCAACACCGGATACGACACCTTCTGGCAGAAAGCCTTTGCTTCTTCGAAGCTTGTCAGCTCCTTCCAGGTCGGCTGATCAACGCCAATCCTGTCGAGCATGCGGGAGAACTTGTACCGATTCTCCGCAGTGTCGATCATCTCAGGGGACGTGCCAAGAACATTGACGCCAGCACGCAAAAGAGGCAGAGCAACATTGTTGGGCGTTTGGCCACCCATCGCGCCCAGGACGCCGAATGCGGCCTCCTGTTCGTAGATATCGAGCACGGTTTCCATGTTGATAGTCTCGAAATACAGCCGGTCCGCCTCATCGTAATCAGTGCTTACCGTCTCGGGGTTCACCTAAAAATCTGTCAGCACTGGGCTTTTCCTTGGATTCATTTGTTGTTGGGAACAGAGAAGGGGGATGGCTGTGAGGCCGGGGCCGGGTGGAAACTAGGGTCGGGCATCTTGGGGAAGGCGGAACCGGGGCGGGACCGGGGGCGGGGGCGGTACAAAGGCGGTGGACTGTGCTGGGGGATAGGAATGGTGCTGGGGCAGGTGCCGGGGGATACCATGGAAACGGAAGGAACCATGACACTTACATTAACCATGACGGTCTTCAAGCCGTGCTCACGCAGTGTGCGGATTGCCCTAACCGAGCACCAGTCAAACTCCACGGAAGACCCAATCCTGTACACTCCAGAACCAAGCACCATGACACCGTGGTCGTCGAACGAGATATCATGCTCGCTGGCATTGTAGGTGAGGTAGAGGTAGTTCGTGGATGACGGAAACTCGGCGGCGACGGTGTCGACTTGCTTCACAAAGGGGGTAATGCCGGCCTCTTGCCGCATGCCCCGCACGGCGAGCTCGGTTGAGCCCCAGAACTTTGCGATCTGCCTGTCGCAGAAACCCAGCTGCTTGGCACGGAGGAGCATGCCTGGCTGGAGGGCTGCACCGTTTGCCTTGAGGTCCTTCATCTGCTTGGCGAAGTCGCTCAAGCCCTTGAGCCTGTCGAGGAACCACTTGTCGATCTTGGTCAGCTCCCAGATCCTTTGGACTGAGTAACCGGCGCTCATAGCATTCGCGATGGCGAAAAGGCGCTGGTCAGAGGGTGTCTGAAGCTCGTCATCGATCGACATGAGTGCCGGCGTCTCGTTGAAGCCGAGATTGTGGAAATCGATGGCCCGGATGGCCTTCTGGATGGCCTCCTCAAAGGTCCTGCCGATGCTCATGACCTCACCGACACTCTTCATGGACGAACCGAGCTGGGTGGAGACGCGAGTAAACTTCTTCAGATCCCATCGGGGCATCTTTACCACGACGTAATCCAGTGACGGCTCGAAGCAAGCGCAAGTAACCTTGGTGACTGAGTTCTTGATGTCCTTCAGAGGAATGCCGAGTCCCAACTTGGCTGCGATGAAGGCGAGCGGGTAGCCAGTGGCTTTGGAAGCTAGCGCCGAAGATCTAGACAATCTGGCGTTGACCTCGATGATGCAGTACTCCTTGGAGAAGGGATTGAGCGCATATTGGATGTTGCACTCGCCCACGACGCCGAGGTGGCGGATGACATTGACGGCCGTCGTACGCAGCATGTTGTAGTCTTCATCGGACAGCGTCTGGGAAGGGGCCACGACGATGGAGTCGCCGGTGTGGATGCCGAGCGGGTCGAAGTTCTCCATGTTGCACACAGTAATGCAGTTGTCCTGGCAATCTCTCACCACCTCGTACTCAATTTCCTTCCAGCCCTTCATGCTGCGCTCAATTAGGACCTGAGGGCTGGCTGCGAAAGCTTTGTTGCACAGATCAAGGAGCTCGGCTTCGTTGTTGGCAAAACCGCTGCCGAGACCACCGAGGGCATAGGCCGCACGAACAATGACGGGGAAGCCAATGTCCTTGACAGCTTTCAGGGCTTCATCGACATTGCTGGCTGAGGCGGACTTGGCGCACTTCTCGCCAATCGACTCCATGCTCCGGGCGAAGAGCTCGCGGTCCTCGGTGGTGATGATGGTGTCGATCGGCGTACCAAGGACTTTGACACCGAGCTTCTCAAACTCATCCTTGAGCTGGATGCCCACTGAGAGGGCAGTTTGCCCGCCAAATGTGCAGTAGATGGCATCGGGCTTTTCGTAGAGGATAACCTTGCGAACAAACTCGGCGTTGACAGGCAAGAAATAGACCTTGTCGGCGAGACCCTTCGAGGTCTGAATTGTGGCAATGTTGGGGTTGATGAGGACGGTGTAAATGCCTTCCTCCTTCAACGCCTTGATCGCCTGACTGCCAGAGTAGTCGAATTCACCAGCCTGACCAATGCTGAGGCCACCGCTTCCGAGAACAAGAACTTTCTTGACCGAAACCCGAGGGTGTAGCCTGTTATTCTCTTCGACCGTACCACCGGGGAACTGGACGCCCTTCTTCAGCAGGCTGCTATCAGCAGCGCAGTCCGCGACCGTCTTGATGAAGACGTCAAAGAGGTATTCGGTGTCCCGAGGGCCGGGTGTGCTCTCGGGGTGGAATTGCACGCTGAAGTGCGGCCTGTCAACATGCATGACGCCTTCGTTGCTGCCATCGTTGGCGTTGACAAAGAGTTCCTGCCACCCGGCAGGCAGTGTGGCAGCATCAACGGCATAGCCGTGGTTCTGGGATGTGATGTGGCACTTGCCCGTCACCATGCTGGTGCAGGGAATGTTGTGGCCACGGTTACCGAATTTGAGCTTGATCGTCTTGGCTCCAGCAGCCCTGGCAAGTAGTTGATGACCCAAGCAGATGCCGAAGATGGGTGTGCGGTTTTCGGCGAGGGCCTCGGCAACGCGTTTCACCGTCGTTTCCAGAATAGCCGGGTCACCGGGGCCGTTGGAGATGAACAACCCATCGTACTTTTCGCCACGGAAATCATAGTCCCAAGGGCACACTAGGACCTCCACACCGCGCTTGAGGAAGCATCTCAGCTGGTTGTACTTCATACCAACGTCAAGACAAAGAATACGGATGGGGCGGCCCGAAGGGTGCTTTAACGCGGAGGCCTCGGGCGGCCGGTACAGCTTCGGCGCCTTGATGGACACTACAAAACGGTGAGCGGAGAATTGGCCTCATTGTATCTTCGCAACTCACCCTCTGCTACAAGATTCTTCTCATTCGGATTGAACCAATCAATTGACTCGAAGTATGGCCTCCAGTCACCCGTCGTACCGGGGAGGGAGAGGCCATCGACATTGCCATTGACCCCGTTGGTCAAGTCCTGTTTTTGCAGCAGCATGCGGCCCAGCATGCTTCCCTTTTCACGGATGCGCTTTGTCAAGGCCCGAGTGTCAACACCGTACATGGCAGGAATTCCCTGCTCCTTCAGCCATGTTCCCAGGGAGGACGTCGCGAGGAAGTGCGAGAAATCTTCACCGGCATATGTTGCGGTCACTAGACCGGCAATGTGAATTTGCGACGATTCGAAATGAGCAGGGAGATCACCCAGGAGCTGATCGAGAGCATCCCTCGGAGGGACACCGTAGTTGCCGACTAGGGGGAAGGTGATCACAAGGATCTGACCGCGGTAGGAGGGGTCGGTCACAGACTCTGGATACCCCACCATGCCCGTCTGGAAGACCAGCTCACCGGCGATGCTCTTGGGAGCACCGAAGCTGTAGCCCTGGTAGACGGAGCCATCCTCGAGCTCTAGGGTGATGAGGCCTTCGGATTCCGCTTTGGCGATGGCCGCTGTGGCCGGTCGATGAAATGTAGCGGCCATTACGATTGGGATTGCAGGCACAGAGCGCCCACTCCAAGAATTGAGGTGAAAGAAAAGGCGGAAGAGAATCCAAAACGGAAAACGACGGCGACGGGGGTACGGTATGAACAAGCAGGTCCTGGAAGCTCAGGAGATCCCCGCGGGGGAGGTCTTCACTTTCCGACTGGGAATGATGCCAGAGGTGCTCGTTTCACCGGCAAATCGTCATGACCCAGCAGTACCAGCCCTTCTGCATAGACAGAAAGGGAATAAGGGAGCAAAAGTGAGGACTGGGAACGGTGAAGAAAATTTGTAGGCGGTGATCAGCCCCGCCACAGCACACAATGGCTTTCGCCCAGCCCACAGCACCACAACTTTTTTCGAGCACGACGGTGAGCTTGCTAAGGTTGCTGCGGGGTTCCCTGTAGGGCCTGGATGAGATCAAATGCATCGGAACAAAGAATTTTTTGCCAATGCCCAATCAACGCGAGGGAAGCGCGTTTTTGGCGGGGTTGTTCGCGTGGGGTCGACTGCGAGTCCAAGCTTTGTTGCATTCTTGCTGTCTTGTGGTTGGCCCGTTCGCCACCGCCCAAAGATCGGAATTTTTAGCTCAACGATTGAAATCTCCTACACCGGAGTCGAGAATCGCATTCGAGATTCTGAATGCCCATCGCCCGTGACGATGGGGAGCATTGAAAAAAGAGAGTTCTGGAGTGTTTGACAGGTCAAGTTGACTTCCTTCGTCCAGTTTCGTTAAGTGTGATCAAGACCAAACGAAAATAGGTCAACTGAAAAAAGCTCAACCGCTCGACGATCAATGTCACGATCCATCCAGGGCTCGAACCTGGAGCCTCCTGATTACCCCGATCTGTGAGATCGTAGTCAGACGCGCTTCCAATTACGCCAATGGACCTTGTGTTGTTAGTTGAAGGTGGTGGTCGTTCGAAGAGAAGAAGAATCCTGGATGCTTTCCCCACCAAGATTGGAGCCGGCTTCTATCAAAGCCTTGTGTCCCGGGCCGAAGGAGTGAGTGGGTCTCCGGCTCGGGGCCGGTCAGCCAGGGTCCATGGTGACTAAGCCGATCCGAACCGCATCGACCACGCTGCATCCGAAGAACGCAGGATTCTTATCGCCAACGGTGTACATACATAATGAAGCATCCTGCTCCTAGGGTGTCGAGGGTGTCACCAACGTCTGAGGCTGCGTGGAACCGACACACCTGCTTCCCAGACTCCGTCAACGGTATTGAGAACGGCAAGGTATTGTGCTGTGTAGCACTGTTTATGCAAGCTGTTGAGTCTCGATCAAAAACTGCCATGGTTCTCATAGCGAATGTAGAACGTACCGGTACACCAGAATCTCCCATATGATCTGAAAGTCCAATTATTCTCATCTGAACCAACAATGTCGAGAGCTGAGCAGTCTCAGTTATTTCTACTGTGTATTCGTGCCTCCCTGTCTCACAACTTTGAGGTCGCCATCACATTCACAGCTGAACAGTTGCGGATGCTGTGCCTGGTTGGCGCGGGAGGTGCTGCACGGGCCACATCGGGTGACACTTGAGAGATTGCAGGCGGCCTTTGCCGAGGAGCAGCAGACCAGGGATTGCAGCTTCGTTTCCACTCGAGTGGGTTCAATTGTTCGCACCATTCGTTCCAGCACATGTTGGAAGTTGGCAAACTTGCACTACACGCTGAGAATCACGCCTCAGATTTGTTCAGGTTATGTGATTACCTATTCGTATCTAGTAGTGTATGTGCGAAGTATCTCGCTGCAAGGCTTCTTCTGCATTTTGTCGGTGTGCCCGACACCGAGAGGGGATTGCTTCGCAGTGGTCAAGAGGACGTTGCATTGTGCATTGAAGCTGCAGCCGTCCTGCAGCACTCGCCGCAACCTTCGTCCAGGAAAGGACCCTGGATTGGACCCTCAACGTCAGCCGAACTTGCGGTCATGAGGCCACCTTGGGATCGGCTCTCCGTGATGGCGACATTCCCTATCCCAGATCAGACAGGCGCGGTATCAGCAGGAGGGATGGGGGCATGTGGTTGGTGCGAAGCCGCCAGATGCACGCCGGGTTCCCGTCTGCGAGTTCTGTCAACCACTCAAAGGCAACCTTGACGAACGCTCTTGGCAGCGTGCCCACTCCAACCCCGCGATTCGTTGCCGCCTCTGGACAGCATCAGCTAAATGCAATCGGGAGCCTCTATTCGCCAACAGACAATGGACAAACGCTACACAGGCTCTGGCGGTGCGGCCTGAGGATTGTAAAAATTGATCCTCGGGGAGAAATCCAAGAGGAAAACTACCTAGAGCCGATTTATCCTGACCACCAACCTTTTTATGGTGTTGGTGACTATCCCTGATGGCGCGAGGGTGTGTCTTGGTGTGTTAGTGCTCGTGACAGGGGTGTTCCCGGCCTGCTCACCTCGTGCTCGACCCCCGGCGCTCCTTATCACCCCCGACCTTTTCCGTCCCGGCGGGCTACTCGCCCATTCCCTGTCTCTGCTTCCATTCCTCAGCAAGACGCGGTTGCTTGCTCAGAAGGAGCGCATTCCGCGCTTCTCCCTTGCACCTCTTTCTTTTTTCTCTGTTTTTCGGTCTTGGGAGATTCGTCGAGGGACTTGGAGACCTGGAGATTTGGAGACGCTCTGCAAAGGTGACAAGAAATTGCACCCTGGGCTTGCCCACAGATCGCCTCGGTGAGACAGGCATTGTGTATCGCCGGCTTGTTGCAGCCTTTCCGTTGAAGGCACAAGGCAAAACGTGTTCGGCGTGCTTCCGACGACATTGGCCCTATCCGAAGTAGCAGACCGACCCCGACAAGCACCAGTCTCCGACCATCCCATGGCGTTCGGATGCCTCTATTGACGCGTCGGGGCACGCTCAGCCCGAAACTAGAGGATGTTGTCCGCATTATTGCGACCCTTCCAGGGCACCAATGCGTACAATGCCGACGCCGCCGACGTGGAGCAGGATCCTACGCCCCGCCCTTCGCCAGCGCAGTACAGCCAGCATCGCCATGCCACTGCCGATTTCACCGAGGCCGACGACGATGAGGATGAAGAGGAGGAGTCCGCTCATGGCGAGCAGTTTCGCTACCCTGTCGGGAGCCGCTCCCAAGAGGACGAAGACGGCCTGGCTCGGTCGGCCGGCCTCTTACCTCTATTCGCCGCCGGGCACCTAGGTGCGAGCGCCCTTCATGGCCTTTGAGACCTAGAACCTATTATGCCGCTGACAAGCAATCTAGACTCGCTACCTATATACAGCATAACGCACGCGATTCGCATCATCGTTCAAGCCAGAATCGAGACTACACTGACCTGGGAACAGTTGAGATCTCCCCAGGTGTCCCAATTCCTAGTCAAGCCGATGCAGCAGCAGATCCGAACACAACACTTTTCTCCCGGCACACTCTATGCCTTGATGGCCAATTGCTTGCAGTTTGAGAAAGAGGGACAGTTGTACCTGGGGAACGCCGGCATAAGCAGCACGAGGGCAAGGGTATGCGAGCTGCTCGCCATGAAGCTGCTCAAGGAGTACACCACTCGGGAGCTGATCGATGCCCTTTCTTACGACTTCTACCCGCTCCAGGGCGTCTCGGGATCGCAGACTCCTCTCAATGCAGGCAGCAGGCCCAAGACAGCCGCTCTCAGGACCTCGACTCTGGAAGTCGCCATCCGGGCGTCCGCCAAGCACTTTCTATCCCATCCCCTGGTCGTACAGCAGCTTGAAGCCATTTGGAACGGCGCCATCAGCTTCTGTCCTACCCAAGAGCCGTCACAACGCCAGGATCCTGGGCCTAGTGCTGATGGCAGCAACCAATCCAGGCGTCAAAGCACAGTGCGTACGCCGTTACTTGGTGGCCAGCAGGCTAAGGAGGACCCCGCCCGCCCTCAGCCGCTCCCGTCTGGTCGGCGGCCTGTCACTCTCTACGACCCTCGCACCGCTTCGCTATTCAAGTTGTCTAGGCTGCGGGTCCCGCGTTACCGGCAAATACTCTCCGCGTGCTCTCTCGTAATATTGATCGGCCTGTTCCTGGCTGTCTTGGCCCAGCGATCAAGCAAGATCACGTCGCTAGAGCTTCTCTTTTGGTTCTGGAGCGCCGGCTTGATGCTCGACGAAATTGTCGGTTTCAACGAGCAGGGCTTCTCGCTTTACATCATGAGCTTCTGGAACATTTTTGATCTGGCCATATTGCTGTTGTTGATTGTCTACTACTGCATGCGTGTCTACGGCGTGTTCCTTCTAGACCCTCACAAGTGGAACGAAAATGCCTACGACGTCCTCGCTGCTAGCGCTATCCTGTTACTGCCCAGGGTATTCTGCGTGCTGGACCACCACCACTACTTCTCCTGGCTGCTAACGGCTTTTCGGCTGCTGGTAGTAGATTTGGTGGCCGTTTTCGTGCTCATTTTGGGGTGCTGCAGTGGATTTTTTGTGTTCTTTGCGTTCTCCAAGAACTCAGAGGACCCATATGCGCTGGCCTTCAAGATATTCCAGGTTTTGATGGGTTTCACCCCCGGTGCCTGGGACGTGTGAGTGCAGCGAATCGTGATGTAGGCCCTTGTGAAACTGACCGGCTTACTAGGTGGTCGTCCTACAACTGGATGGGAAAGGGGCTCATGGCCCTCTTTCTCATCATCTGTCACTTTGTAGTGCTGTAAGTCAACACATATGTGGTTGAATCGAGCAGGCTGACGTCGGATATCAGAACCATCCTCATCACAGTCTTGAGCCACTCATTCACCTCGATCGCTTCCAGAGCGAATCAAGAGCATCAGTAAGTCTGGTAGCGAACAAGCCATAATTGGATCCAAATTGACATCCCAGGTTTCTGTTTGCCATCAATACAATCTCCATGGCCAAAAATGATGCCCTCTTCTCTTACGTCGCTCCCGCCAACATTCTGGCATGGGCTTTGATGCCCTTGAGATACTGCATGCCGCAGAAACAGTTCGTCTACCTGAACCGGGCAGTAGTCAAGGCCACTCATTTCCCGCTGCTATTCTGCATTTACTTCTATGAGAAGTATTTCTTGGCTCCTGGCATGTACGAGGCGACGGACCTCGTGGATAAGCCTTCACGTGGTCGCCAGCGTGGCATGCCCTTCGCAGACGCGGCAGGCAGATCCGCCTTCTTCAGCCCCAGCATCCGAGTACGTGAAGAGTCGGTTTTTGACTTCCAGAAGGACCGCGCACTGGAAGAGGTCTTTCGGCGTGCACCGGACAGCGCTGTCCTGCGAACGCAAAGACGGAACGAGCGGCGCAAGACGCAAAATGCGATTCGGACATGGATGGACCAGCATGACGCTGGATTCAATACGCCCCCGAATTACTCGACTCAGAATTACTCAACGATCGACAGCAGGATAACGAGTGACTGGCACAGGAGGTTGAGCATGAACCGTGAGAGGCCCTCGAGGTTTCCGAAGCATTATTCCGACATTAGATCGGCCGCAAGCGACCCCGCCGATCTCATCTCAGATGCCGCTTTTCCCGCGGCGCACGAGCTCTACAATGACGGAATCGCACGGCGGGATTATGCTATAGAGGTCAAAGAGAACACGGACGGAGATGCTGACGGAGATGACGAGTTGGTAACCAACGACGAGGACGAGGAAGATAACGCGACGAACAATTTGGATGACGGTGTTGCTGCCCGAGGGGAGGCCATTGAAGAAGACTACTTCACGACGCCCGTCGCCACACGGTTTGCCAACGCAGATCACGCCTCGCCCGATTCTCCTCGCCCTGCCACCTCTCGACGCATGGCGCTGCATCACCGGACTTTATCAACCAATACCATCCTATTTGCGCCTGAGGAGCCTGATCGGCCATACAGCGATTCCTCTGCCTCCGCCTGGCCAGCAACGACCCCTCGCCCGTTATCCCATCCGATCAGTGTCCGGCACTCTCCCGCCGCAACGCCAGGCACTCCGCGAGGCGCTGACGGCCGTCGCTCTCCACGGCGATCGCTGTATCTGGCGTCCCGCCCGCGATTTATTCCCGACACCCCTGCTGGCAGCGCAGTTCGGACAGTGCTCCACAACCGCACGGGCGGCCTGACCTTGGACATCCCCACTAATACCATTCCTGTCACCGGCGGCGGCGGCAGGAAAATGCCAGCCCGCCGAAGATCCTTGGTAGATTTCGAAGTATTCTCAGACCCCCATCTCACTGCGCAAGCAGGGGCAGATGGCCCGTCCAGCCTGCCTACCACGGCCACGGGGAGCGCCGCCATGTTCCCGTCCAAGGCACAGGACGAGCAGCTGCGACATGCCGCCGCCGCCGGCAGCAGCGGCAGCAGTACCCGCCTGAACAGAGCCATGCTGGCAAAGATGAAATCCCTCGAGGACAGTCTCGGCCACATGGTTCGTCAGATGCGGGTGCTGAGGATGTCGGTGCCGAACACGGCGCATAATTCGGATGATGGTGGTGGTGCTGATGAGGCTGGCGAGCACCAGCCGCAGCCGCGGTTCACGGTCGGGTCGGATCCTTCCTCGTCTGCCGTGGGTGCAGGCGGTGCTGGCGGCGGCGGCCCTGTCATTGAGGTTGCTGTTGCTGCGGGTGCCGGGGTAGGTGGCGGGCATGGCAGGGCCGGGATGCTGCGGAGATCAAGGACCACTGGGGCTGCTACTGGTGCTAGTACGCCAAGGAGAATGCCTCTGCGCAGAGGGGTCGGGGTTGGGTACTGGAGGAGTCCGCCACCGGACAGGCATTCGCCTGCTAGAGAGAGAGGAGGCGGTACGATGAGTAATCATGTCCGTGGTGAGGCGGAAATGGGGTTCGAAAAGGGGAAAGAGAAGGGCAAGGAAAGGGAGAGAGGAGTCAGGCTGTCGAGCAGTTCGCTCGGGGATAGCCCGGCTATGTCGCCTGATTTTCAGGTTGCTGTTGTGACGGAGTTCGCTGCTGCTCAGGAGGCCAGGTCTTCGCTGTGAAGGTTGGTTTTCTGTTTGGGATCATGTCATGCCGTGTCTTGGCGGGCTGAATTTGCTTGATTTGATTGCTGCGAGCGTCTGTTTTGTCATTTTCCATTTGGGCGTGATGTGGACTGGTTGTCAACTGGGTGCATTTGGATGGCGTTCGAGCGGGCTGTGTATTTTCTGAGTTGCTCTCATCTCAGCTCTGGTGCTGCGCGTGGAAAGGGGGACGATAATCTTCGTGGTTCAGTCCTGTGTGGTTTGGCCGTATACCATTGGTATACCCTTAGTAGTACTGGCGGAATGGGGATGTTTGTGTCATGGCTGTCTAGTTGTCCTCCGTCTGGAACGGGGTTCTATTAGGTCACCTTGGAACCTGAAACGGTTCGCTGCCAGTCGATGAACCACAAGTGATCATCGCTGCTTGCTGCTTCACGGGCTTGTGCCACGAAGCTCTGCTGTTAGCCGTGTGTGGGAGTGCCTGAATAAGAGCTTATGGCGGTGAGATCCATGGTGGTCTTTTAAGAGCCTGGTAGACACAAATGGCATCTGCCTGTCCTAGGAACTATGTCATCGATTGTGCATCTGGGAATCCGCCTCGGCAAGTCATCGCTATGCTAGCTCTAGTTCATCACCACTGTCATCACCACACACTCCGATACAATTTGGGCCTCCCTCTACTCTGAATCCGCTGTGCTTGAGTTTCTCCCCCTTTCCATTTCCACAGCCGGCCCGAAGCTGACACTCTAGACGACCGAGCTATCATCTAATACGGGGATTGCTAAGTAGTAGTGGTGGTGATGGTCTCTCGCCAGGAACAGTTGTCCTCGGGATACTAGTAGTACCGTAGTAATCTATGGAACAACACTCCAAAGGGGAGGGAACCTCAGATGCCGCCCCCGCTGCGGTCAACGCTGACGTAAAAGTTGCGGGCGGCCGAGTTCTTCTGGGCCAGCTCGTTGTCGCGCAAGGTGGCGGCTACGTGCCTGAAGCCGAGACCAGCGCCTGCTAGGGCCAGACCGGCGAAGGTGAGGGCCGGGTGGCGGCTGTATGTATGGGAGAGTTTGTTAAAACAATTGTATTGTATTTTGGTGGATTGAGTGGTTGGTATTTGCAGGACAAAGCTGGAAGAGCTTCATGTTGCAAGCGGGAAAACACTAGGTACTTACGTGAGAATGCGTAGGGGTGAGGTAGAAGAGGGTGAGGCTCGGGTAGGGTCCATGATAGCTGAAGCAGGTTTGTGGATGGTGTGTGGGTGGTCCTCTTTGACAGCCTTTGTTCTCGCAGGTTGAACTGGAGATTGTGGCGGTGAAGGACAGCAAAGGGGAGGTTTGAGAAGAACGATGGAAGCTCTTGAATTGAGATGAAGAGAGTGCCTATCAGTCACTCTTCAATAGCGAGCACATGTACTGTACAATACAATACGCCTATGACAAAATGCCGTTCATTCAGACAGACTCCAGAGGAGCGCGAAGTTGTAAGAAAGGGTGGAATGGATGGAAGTCAAGCAGCAGCTAGGTAGTTTCATATCACCAGACGAAAATCAACCGGTTCTCATCCGCGTCACACGTTGTGGCCTACAATCCCATCAATGGGTCTCGACCCAGACCTAGTGTAAGCCACCAGACCGGGGTAAGTGGCACGCGACACACACCCCGCTACTGCCAAGTCGTCCACCGGTACGAAGTAGGAAAACGGTTGTAAATTACGAGATCCGAAAACCGATGGCGTTACACATGGCTGTAAGGTGCATGTAGTGTAACGTATTGAACGAAGTTGTACTTTACGTACGTCAAGTACCGTATATAAAGTTATAAACACTGTATACAGTACAGTACCTCCGCCTCTGTGTAAACAGGGCACTGGCGGTACCTAAGCACTATTGAGTTGCTATCTGACCTAGAGAACACTAAACTAGAGAGCCATGAATAACACCGCAGACTGATATCAAGACTGTCCTGCTTAGATTTCTGCAGTTTGGTAAGGGAGGTGTAAATGAGGTTAGGAAAGTAGCCATCACGTTGCCCCACCCTATGGTGGCCTATATATATATACCGTTCGCTTACGCTAACTTGCACTGCACCTATATAAG